TATTTAGCGCATTTAGTAATCGAAACAATTCTTCCATAGATTTTATATAGCATATATACATTTTACATTCACATTAAAAATTATTTATTTTTAGTTAGACTTTTCCAATTAATACCTTCATCATTATAGTGCCGTCGGAAGATATTTATGTGATACTTCCAGGAAAAAAAAAGACCGGGAAAATTGAAATAAATTATTTGTACGAATTTTTAATCCTTAATTATTAATTTAGTTCAATGATTTGTAAGAATTTTTAATCCTTAATTCCCTTCTATTAAAGGAATGAAATTCCCAGTTTTTTTTCCAGAAATACTACAATGACACACCCAATTATCTAATGAACCACGGATACAACAATAGTCATCGACATTCAGAATTCTCCCGTCAAATTAAATAAATCCCAATCCAAAAATTTATCTAATTTCTTCTAGACTCAGCAAATGAAATAGATATTTGAAATATATAATACTGCTTATAAAATTCAATTATCAAAATGAGAAAGTTGTAAAAAAATTACATTAATCTTTTGTAGACAGCAAGTAAAAAAATTAGGACCACAAAAAGTTAAGGTGAATAAAATATTATAAATATTCAGAAGAAAATAAGAACATATGAATAAAAATGAAATAAATATATAACTGTAATTAAGGCAAATAAGAATGAAGAAAAGACATGCTTGTTTTTGTGCGTACAATCCCTACGTTTTTTTAACCTGATTTTGTTTGTTTTCGTGTCCTACTCTTTATTTTAGCCAGTTTATGTCATTAAAAATTAAAAGATCATGCACTTAGGATTATTATACTTATATTTTCCATATATGTACTGTTTTTTAAATTTTAAAATCTTGTTATTAATGGAAACGCGAGAAAAGAAAATCAAGTGGGCGGGGATCAATTGAATCATAAAGTTTATTAACAATTTAATTTACATAATTCTACAATTAGGATTATACTTATATTTTTAATGTATTTATTGTTTTTAAATTTTAAAATCCTTTTATTAATGGAAACACGTGATAAAGAAAATCAATTGTGCGGGAATAATTTTTCTATCTTATATGGAAATAGAAAATTTAACATTGATCAAAGATAAATTTACATTAACAACTTTAAAAAATAATTTTTATGATTTAACAATGAGCCAATAATAAAACAATTTGCTATTGTCAATAGTGAGACAAATGTACACATCTAGCTTTTTGAAACACCTCCTCTTAGATTAACATCTTCCAACTTTATCGGATATCCCGAAGGTACACCGTATAATATTATTACACTCAATATAATGCTAAATAGTATAATAAGGTGGTTATTTACTAATTATTTACCACCGTTGTGGATAATAAAAATTGATGTTCCTCAATAAAACTAATATATGATTGATGCTCCCCGTTAAAACCCTAAAACGAACATCATAATTTAGAGACTTTTTTCTTCTTCAAAAAATATTGCTTCTCGCTACGTGTGAAATCTCTTAAATTAACTACAATAAATTAATCTATGTATTTCCATTAGAAAGATGATTCCTCATCAAACCTCACTTTAAAATTCAATCACCCCCATGGCATTTCCCCTCTATTGTCTCTGCATCTGATAATTATCTCTCGATATGCTTAATTCTAAAATCTACCAAAAAGAACTACGCCTAACCGGAACCACCACCGCTAGAATCGTTTAATCACCGAAGCACTAAAATCCTTTCATTGTTTAGTAATTGAATCGCTATTTGGTTTCGTGTTGTTGCAAGTCCAAAGTCTCAACAAAAACACTATCGTTTGATTGGAACCATAAAAGAGATAGGAAAAATTGTTTAGAGAGAAAAACAAAATTTTAAACCTCAAAGAATTCATTAAAAAAAATCAAAGTGAAGAGAAAAGATAGTATGAAATAATTAATTGTTTATTTTGGAAAGCAAATAGTGTACGATCTTCTTCACAAAGCAGTATCTATATTTAATTTTCAAGATCCCATAAATATAAAAGATATCACTATAGTTCATCTCTTCATAACTCACACGATAATTGATAAAGAGCTGAACTTCATGAAATCAAATCGACAGATTGATCAATAAGTCAAAAGTTTTCTTTAAAAAAATAAAAGAAATAAAAAATGTAATAAAAAAATAAAAAGTGCACACAAGTTAAGAAATGGACAAGAGAATATTATCAGCGATATCTAACATGGGATAACACTATGACAAACTTCTACGACATTCAATTAAAATAGTTAATACATGTACACAATTACAAAACATTACACAAATGCATCAATTACCCTCAAAGTATTTCAACAGTCTTCTTCTCTTTGTCCTCATTGCTCTCTCCATCATCCAACCACTGTTCAAGTTCATTGCCGCCCTCAGTAATTCTCGTGCAAGATTGGCCTATTCTTGGACAAGGAATCCATCCATGTTCACAATTCCCGTGACCCCCAAACCATCACAATCTCAGAATATATGGCTTCTTCAACCATCGACATGCAAGTTGTGTTATACTCCCACAGTACAATTCGGCAACAATGGGCTCAAATTGTCAAGTAACATCCAAATAAATAAATATTAATAGTAAAAAAATGAATATCTTTTGAGAAATAATTTTCTTATATTAAAGAGGAGAGAGAAAAAATCAAAGCTCTGCTCCTGAATATAATCTTGTAGTTTTCGTCTTCATCAAAATCACTGTTAACATCATGTATATATACTTTAGATTTGCTCTATATTCCTCCTTCAAAACCCAAAGAAAGATCATGAAATTTTTTTTTTAAAGATATTAAATTTAAGTTACAGTTGCTCCGGCCCAGAGACTAGAAGAATAACAAATAATTAAGGATTAGAATGATACCAAGTGGAAGGGAGGATGAATCATTAGGAGGAGAGTAAACACTGACACTAAGGTTGTTCGAAATTGTTGATAGTGAGACTGGATCCAAGTACAACTTTTCATGATGAAGAACGCTTGTTTCATAAAATTAATTGATTCCAAATTCTAAGCATCCTAGATACCTGACTAGGGACAATAGTGCAAGAAAAAGAAAATTCCAGTATAGGATTCACCCTTAATAAGAACAATCGAATAACAAAAATTAAAAGGGGCTAAATAGAAAAACTTTGATGATCATAGAGAAAACATTTTTCTTAGACAATACATGGGAAAAAATTAATTATCAAGGGTTTGATATGGGGATTTAGAATGATTCCACTCTGCCTTAACAGCCATATTTTGAACCATCTATCCCTTCCATCGGGTTTGTTCCATATGCGGCATAATCAAACATGTTCCTCCTCAATCTAGTGGAACGATTCACCCGAGCAACAGAACGAAACTATGTAATTGAGCAACAAACTTGAGTTTTTTGGCCATGAGAAGTGAGTGGCACTGGAGTTTTTAGTGCGTGCCAGAATATTAATTGGGTCAATGTATTTATACAGGTGATTGATACACATCGGAGTATTAGGGTTTCAAAGGTCGGCCGCCGCTCTTAATATTTATGACAGAAATCATATTTGATTGTGTAGAATCACAGAATGTTCATCAGATGCGGATATAGTTCAACAACGATCCTTCCCGATCCTGAATTTAATTGCGACATTAATATCCTCGACCGCTTTGAGGTTTTACTGCGATTGTTTTACGGATAGAATTAATTCGGGGTAAAGTTAAATAAAAAAGTAAACAAAGGATAAATTTTTATTAACGTTAGCCAAATAAAATTACGGTTTAATAATGACCTGATAATAAATAGACACATTGATCTATTTATACATAACATAAAAACATTGATCAATTTATACACAACAATTGGAAGAAATTACAAAATTAAGGTTAATGAAATTACTTCAATTGAGTGGCCGACATTCAACAAATCATGCAAGTGATACTATTACAAAAAAAGTAAAAAGAAAAAAGGAAAGAATTAAATATCTCACAATGTTTGGTCGTTTGATTTGGTTAATTTGATATTTGATTTTTTGTATCAAAGAAGATACCGATTCTAAACTTGATGTCCAAAACAACAACATTAATGCATATTAATAGTGGCTTTATATTATAACGGAATTAAGGTTCATATCTGGGCCTATTATTTCGGAAAATATTTGTTGGGCTAATCTTTTATGCGATGACCCTGGGGCCGCTTTTTCATTGACCCTGATCTGCATTATTTTTTTAGTTAGTAAAAGTGAAACGGATTAACTATTTTACATAACATTTTAATGGTTTAATGATGAACCAATAATAAAATGACATATGTCAATAGTTTAATGATGCGACACGTGTTCAATGATCAACTTCCTTTAATATATAGATAGATACACTGTCCAAGTAATACCTTTACTTGTTTCTAAAATAGTACTCTCTCGGTCCTTAATATAAAGAATTTTAATTTGTCATATGTACACCTAATACATATTTTTAATTGACAAAGAGAACACAACGAATGTGAAAAGATATTTTTAAGATATTTTTTTCTTTTAAAAATATAAAGGTGAAACTTATGGCAAATCAAAATATCTTTTATTAAGCACGGGAGGGAGAGAGCAAGAAGATGTTGTGCAGAACATTACTACATTAGTTTGCAGGATGCGGACCAGTTAATGGTTTACGAGTTTCACTGGCAATAGTCTTAAAAGCATGTGAGAAATGGGCCTATTTGAATTAATGCCAGTCGGTTGTCCGTATAAAATTTTATTCCCTTTATTAAAAAAATTATTTACGTTTTAGATTATAGTGTTATTATATGATCAGATCATTTGTCAGAATTTCCACCTTAAAATTTAGTACTATTACTCTCCCTGTTTTAAAATATTTTTTATTTTTTTTCTACTAACATTATTCTCCATAAAATAAGTTTCTTTTTATTTTTATACTAAAAATTAGTACTTTCTCTGTCACATAATTATTGTCTAATTTGGATTTTTATTTCTAATTTAAATTGTATTAAAAGTGAAATCTCAAATTAGACAATAATTTTGGGACTTTTTACATAACAAACAACACAATCATCCTTAAACAAAAACAATACTCATTCTTCTGTCAAAAAATAAAAAATAAAAAAACCCGTAATTTGATATTTATGACAATAATTTTATTTTCTACGGATATACACTACCACTATTTGCTTATCCCTTTAATTTTACAGTTTAAGCTCCGGCAATTGCTAGAATTTCCTGGAAGCCAACAGAAGTCTGCTAACTATTAAAGTCTAAAAACTCTCATCTCTTTCGATCCTGATTAATTTTTCTTTTGCTATTTCTATCTATTTAGTAGTAAGTTCAAACTCCTGAAAATCTCTCATCTTTCAAAACCATGCCATCATCATCATCTTACAGGAAGTATGAAATCAGGCAGAGAAACCCGAATCCCAAAACCTGTGTTTTGTTAGTGATCGACACGCAAAACTACTTCGAATCCATGGCTAAGCCAATTTTACCAGCCATTAATACCACAATTGAGCTCTGTAGGGAAGCTTCCATTCCAGTCATATTCACTCGCCATTGCCACAAGTCCCCAGATGATTATGGTATGTTGTACGAATGGTGGGATGGTGATCTCATCATGGACGGAACTCCCGAAGCTCAATTCATTCCTCGTCTCAACAGGAAAGAAGATGACTTTGTTGTAGAGAAGACCACTTACAGTGCATTCCATGGTACGAAATATACTTAGTTGTTAACTATTAATACATTTTGATTTGTCCTAAATTTCGACCTAATATGTTTTTTTAATCGAATCTTTTTAAAAAAATATTTCATAATAATTAGGGAGAACACGATAAATATGAAAGAATAATTCTAAGGGGGTGTTTTTTCAATCAGAAAAACATATAATGAAATTTATGACAAATTAAATGTTTTATAATAAGGACCGGAAGGAGTACTCACAGTGCATTCCAAGAAAACTGGTAAGCTGAGTTGTTTTGTCTTTTTGTTTGTTGTGAATTGTGATATACTAGTATATAATACTGATGATTATAGGTACAAACTTGGAAGAGCAACTTATCAAGATGGGAGTGAAAGAAGTGATAGTGTGTGGTGTTATGACCAATTTATGCTGCGAGACTAATGCCAGAGAAGCATTTGTTAAAGGGTTTCGAGTGTTTTTCTCAACAGATGCAACAGCAACATCATCAATGGAGTTACATGAGGCCACTTTGAAGAATATGGCTTACGGCTTTGCTTATTTGGTTGATTGCAAAAGGCTTCAAGCTTCATTCTCTCAAGTTTAATGATGTCAGACATCCCCTGCCACTTGTGTATTTGACGATCTGTGAAATAGAATTTATGCATACTTGAACATTTTGTGTTCATGGTTTTCTTCACAAATTGCAAAATGATTGTACATGTATTGACCTATGACAAGATTCAGTTCGTGTCCGCAATGCAATGAGAACAAACTATAACTTGCGCAAAATCAAGTGAGCGCCAAACTGTGGCTTGAGAGTTATAACCGAGCGCGGCGCATGTGTATAGGAAGGTGAGAGTTCAAATGAGAAGCGCAGCAGAATCATTGCAATTACCAACTTCGCTTCCAAAATGGAATAGTTCTGACCAACGCAAATACGAGGTCCAGCACCAAATGGAAAGAAACCAAGTTTCCCCTTGGTTGCATTGGAAACTCCTTCAGAGAACCGTTCTGGCTTGAACTCATTTACACTGTCGCCCCATATTTCTGGGTCGCGATGGATTAGTAGTATTTGGAGAAAGAGAAATGTTCCGGCAGGGATAGTTTTATCTCCTAATTTAACATCTGCTGTCGTGATCCGCGCATTGACAGGTAATGGTGGATATAGCCTTAAAGCCTCTTGCAAGATCATATGTACCTATAAAGAGCAAAAAGAAAGAGTTGCTCTAGCATGTTTTCATATTTCAGTTATACTACTTTCTATAACTTTTAACTTTTAATAGGAAACTATATATAGTCCTTGGGATAGATCTTGTTTTACTTCTCACTATTTTAACGGATATCCAAGCATAAACATTTTGAACAACATTTCCAGATTATGCATTCTGAAACAAGAATATAACTGCTGACAACTTTAGTGGGAAGCATTCCAGGAAAAAACTTACTACTTTAAGGTGATTTAATCCTTCGAAATCGGGTTGGTTGGAGCCAAACGTTTGGCGAACCTCTTCTCTAGCACGGGTTTGCCACTCCTCGTACCTGCTTAACAAGATCATTGTCCACACAAGCAGCAATGAGGTGGTCTCTTGTCCTGCAAAATAGAAAACCTTGCATTCTGCAATGACCTCTTCGATAGTCATACCAAAGCCCTTGTTTCCCTGCTCGTCAATTTCTTGGGAATTGGAATCTAGTAATATTCCCAAAAGGTCATTTTCGCAGGACTTCCCGGTTCTCGCTGCATTCAGTCTTGTATTGATAATGTGCCTGATAGAATCATCAACGTCCTTTACAATTTGTCTCATTCTTCTGTTTCTTGCAGTTGGTAAATACCTGAAACCATAAGGAACTTAGCCCACACAGTTGGAGCAAATTTTGTGCCTAGCTGCATTGGAGCAATTAATGCTAACAAGGTTCCTGAATGATAACTGGCAAATGCAAGTCAAAATTTTGTTTATGACCCAGTGTCGATGATCTATTTACCTCCATCCCGGGATGAATGATGACCCCATAGAATTGATTAAAAGCGCGGTCAGTTCCTCTTGAAGTTCAAATATCCTCCTACCTTCCTCATAGCTACTGCCAAATGCGGTGCGCGAAATTGCATCAGAAGATAAAGTTGAGAAGCTAGGCCAGACATCTAGCTCAAACCACCCTTGTGGTGAAACAATCTCCTCCCATTTTCTCAACAACTCATTAGTGCTTGTAACAAAAGGGGGAAGCATATGCTGTTTACAAAGAAAGAAATAGATCATCAACCAAATCAAACCTGTCACATCTTAATCTTTAAACCACTGCAGTGAAGTCATATGATGTGTTTCTGCTCTGTATTGGTTACCATGTTGATACCAATTATCGGCCTCAAAAAAGTGTCAGTTCAAAATCTTTATAGTCTTTATAATAAGATGCAAATTGAAATAGAGAAAGAGAAACCTTCAACTTCTCCATTCGGAAAGCAGGCGTAACGAGTTTTCGATGTTTGGCCCATTTAGCACCATTGTAGCTTGCGAGTCCTGGAGCAAGCAATCTGCTGAATTCAGAACTATCATGCTTGTGAAAGAGGTTAACATCCTGTGAAGCCTCCCATACTAGTTTAGGGTCTTGGACCAAAATGGATGGTACTGGTCCATACCATATATATGTGTTCTTCCCTGCAAATCATTTTGAACTGAATGTCAGAACTTCATGGGATAAGCCCAAAATACGATCAATACATCAAAACCTAATTAGGAGAAAGGTAAAAAAAAAAAATCCACTGATCTATCTCAGAAACATTTGTCGTGTTTCTGCCTAATCGGATCTGTTTCTACTCTCCTAAGACCTGGCACCATATCTGATCAATTCCATTCAGTCCTGAAATTATTGTCCAATTTGGGTTTTCGGGATAGAGGGACTACAAGGATTTCCCCCAAAAAGATGACCAGAATCAAAACAGAAGTTTGAAAAAGAATTCATCGCAAACAATATGAAGTTAATCCGGGTTCAGAGCTGTCATTCTTCTTCAGCTTTATAACAACAATTCTATCATCCTGTTAGAAACGTCCATATTGGACAATAGAAAGTCATCAAGTATTAAAACTACAAAAATGGGGGCTTTTTTGCCTTTTCATTCAATGGAGTGTACTAAACTATGTAAGCTCTTAACCGACTCCAAGATTACTACTTTACTGTGCCTTAAATTTCCCTCCACATTATGAATTTAATCCATCAATCAATTCAACCCACATCCAAAAAAAAAAAAAAAAACCTTGTCATTTTTGGCGATATAATTAATTGACTCAAGAATAGGGTCAACGGATATGAACAAAACGGTTGTAAGAAAACACGAATGTTGAGGGTAGAGAAACATACCATATTTATGGGTCAAGTGAATGACTTCAGGTATAACTCTGGGGGAAATGTCATCGGAGAGATCAATAACAGGATTGGAATGAGCTTGCTTTAACCAGGTTGACATGAGTTTCAAGTCCCCAATAATGAATCTGTAAGGATTCCCATTGAAGCCTTGCTCCCTGAGAAGCTTCTCCAGCTTCTTGGGCTGAACCTACATCAGATTCACTAGTTTCCATGTCAGAACTAATAAAACAGTCAGTACTGCTACAGAACAAGCAAACACAGCTACCGCAATCGAGTTGTGGTCAATCTTCATTGTTTTAGTTCTTCCGGGACAAACAAAAAAGGAGAAATCTTGCACCCAAAAACACATTCAATAACAATACATCTTTGCGCCTTTACCCCAGAACCATCTGTATTAAAGTCAACTTATGAACTTAGAGCTCTGTGCATTTAACGATTATTAAAATCAGTTTTCTAATCTTTTCAGGTTCCATTTTAACCAAATTTAAGTAAACTTTTTTGTGGAGGTTTGTCATGATTCGGAAAAGATTGAACGGGTACGTAGTTGACTTCATCTCATTATTATTATAAATATTATTTCTGTGAACTCTTTTATTTGAACACTTGTATGTGACTTACTATATTGTCCAAACTACAACAGATCGTGGAGGATGTGTATAAGATGGTTGAGAGCTGGAACGAGTAAGATAAATAAACATTTTTTTAATGATAGGGTATAAAGAGTGGTATTTGAGTTGATAATTCATTGTTATTGTGGTAGATTGCTGAAAGGAAACAATTGAAGAGTACTCTCATTTTTTGTCCGAAATGAGAATCTAAGATATACTAGGGGGAGGGAGACCGCACAAGGTGCGGTCGTCGTTTGAAAGTAGAGACCCGTCGTATTATATGCTTGATTAGAACAAATTTGACAATATATCATTGATTAAAACAAATTTGACATCAAAACGTTGTAAAAAAATAGATGGGGAAATTACAGTTGCCGAACCTAAGATTGCTCCAAAACTTCCCTTGTTCTAGAAAAAAATATTATCATTCCAATATAAAGTAGTCCAGGCTGGACTGTCCAGCATCCAGGCTTGAATCTTAATTTCAAATAGCATGAACTCCACACCACATGAAATGGTTGCCATAACCATTGAATTTCACTACATCCGTTGATTACATGGGTAATTAGTCCCTGAACCTTTTCCTTGCTCATTCAGTAAGCCGGCGAAAGCACCATCACCAAGCTCTATTCGCATCAATCACAGCAAACACTAAATGAAAAAGAAATACAAACTTGGCACACTAGCGGAGTTGAGAGTAGCACTTCTGCTTCTTGCGGAGTTGATAAATTACTTGGCACACTCGATAGTGAAAATTGTTCCTGAATTGATGGCTTTCCTACCAACATTCTTAGCTTAACCAGTCCTAACTCCTAACTACAGAATATCAGCGGGATTAACGGGCGGGATTGAAAGTATTAGCGGCAGTATCAAACCATCAACTTCTTATCTTCTGTTCTACGACCGTTCCCTTCCAATGCTTGTTCCCTAAGCAGCTTGTTCCTTCAACCGCATGTATCTGTATATTGCACATTTTTTGTTAGAACCCCAAACCCTTGTATATAAAGTACTCCTATATGACATGCAACAGAAACAGTTTGAACTTTTAATCAATCAACACAATTTCAACGCAGTAGACATTCTTATAAATCAAACCTCAATCTTATTGATCAAATGATTTATTTGTATTCAGAACATAAACAAAGGCATGCAATGAAAAGAAAGTAAACGCAAAGCTCTGTACATACGGACTTCAAATGCAAAGGTACAAATTGATTACATGAACACATGTATTGTATTCTCAAAGCCCAAATTCTTAAATAAAGCTACCGAATAAATGAAAAAGAATGCGTTTCATCAGTCACAAATGAAAGGTGAAATTATGCAGGGGATTAAAAATTCAACAAATTGATAACATTTCACTTGGGAATTTTATCGAACACCTGAATCTAAGCAAGTACAATTGGTATGTATGCCGATTACCAAATTGGCTAACTATAAACACTCAAATGACAGAGTTGATTTTATTATGCATCAATCTATATGAATTTCAACAATACTCCACCGCTTGCAAACCATCAAAGAAAACGGAAAACTTCGGCCAAAAAGCCCAAACTAACAATTATTTTTGGATGTAACTACACGAATTAGTAATAATCGAAGTCAAGACCCTCAGATCCTGACTACCGAATATCTCAGAACCACAAACTAAGATAACTAACTCAAAAAATTCCAAGACCTTAGGTAGCCCTGACTGAAAAGGGAAAAAGAAATACTCAATTCACAAAGGGGCAGAATCAAAATAAATATTAAAAAAGCAATCGGCAAGACAAATATATTGAATTTGAAATAGCAGAACCAACAATTGCAGAAACATGGAGAAGGTGGGAACGAACCAGCGGTGGCCATGCGCCTCTACCCTTTCAGGTGTCCTGTCGCCGTGATTCTGCCTCTTTTTTACATCTTTGTTGCCGAGACTACGAATTGAAACCAGAAAAGACGAATAAAAAACCTTCTCTGATGCATCAGTGGGTTCAATCTTCATGAGAGAGATTTAGAATAAAGAAACGGGAAACCGGACAAATCAGGAGGAAGAAGAAATTTGGAAGGAGGAAGAAATTTGGAAGAAAATGACAAATCTATCTATCTATAGTATATTATATATATATATATATATCTTACTATATTAGAAACAAAAACCACACTTAAAGAAATCACCACCATTTGCCATGTGCCATTTACACATCATATTTTTAAAACAAATTTTTATTTCCACATCTCCTAGACTTAAAAGTCAAATGTAATCCAAATTCACCTCCACCTCCACCTCCTATTTTCGCCAAAAAAAAAAACCACGAATTCATAAAAAAATCCAAATCCTCATCCCCATCTCCACGACAATCGACTCCCTAATCAATTCCTTCTCTACAATTAAAAATAAATAAATTTCTCATTAATCATCAGTTGAGAGTATGTGGTGAAATATACTCCTTTCCTATTAGCATGTTCAATATTTTCATTAGTGATGAGCAACTACATCCTAATCGCATAAAATTTCAACTTCAAAAAATATTCTCTTTACCTCTCTATATAAACACAAAGGAAAAAAAAAACTCATTGATCTTGCTTCGGCCGTTGTGATGGTGGCATTACAGGTATTACAGTTTAAATGATTTTATTTCCACAGATCATTGGTTTGGCTTTTATTATTTTTTATTTTTCTCGTTCAGGAATAGTGTTATTACTATTATTTTTATGCGTCCATCCGTTATAGCTATCGTAGCCGTTGTCAGGTAATGTAGTGTGATTTCTTATTTGGTTAGTTAGCTTAGAATTTTTGTATGATTTTAGTTATGTTTGGATTGAATTGATTAATTGGATTTTTATTACAAAGTGTGGTTTCTTAAATTTCTTTTTTATGTTTCATTCAATTAGAGTGGTTTTCTTTTTTTAATTATGGAGTCTCAGGTTTTTTTCCGTATATGGCCAGTTATGAAGTGTGTTTTTTCTTTGTTTAATTGCTTTTGATTTTGTTTCATACTCCCAGTTGACCAATTGTTATTAATATTATTATTATTATTATTATTATTATTATTTTATTTACAAATGAAGTGCGTTTTTTTTTTTTTTTTTGTGTTCGGGGTTTCAAGAATATACTTTTTTGGATATAATTTTTGGACTTTTTTTTAGTTTCTCATCATATAAATAGTTTAGGTCGCTTCTTCTAACTAATTTATGAGGAAGCCTTTTATGAATTTGAGGTGGAGAGGGAAGGAATGATGTTTCTACGTTTATTTGTATTTTTATACATCATTTTTACCTACAGAAAAAAAAAATCTCAAATTTTAATGGGCTATCTTTTACTTTTTTTTTATTTTTTTTATTTGACATGGTGAGGTGAGTTCTTTTTTGCTATATCTTGAAACCTATGCAAATTTACTTTATTTTCATTCTCATATTTGTGATCAACCAGTTTTAACAATTAACCAGTTTTAAAATCATATTTTTGATATTTTATTACCTATAAACTTTTGGAAGAAATAGTTCTAACAGTTAAGTGTATACCTGTTGGAGGAAACTAACTATAAAGCTATTATAAATCTCCAAAACTAAGTATAGATTTGGCACAACCAATGGAGAACATCAATAAATTATCTTACTAATATTTAAACTTATTAGGATGTTTTTATATTTTGTCTAGCATTTACTTCAGACATATATTTGATCAAGTTTATTTATATTTAAGAAGTAACACTTATAAAACATTTCTAAAATCTTCAAACATTTCTAAACGTACCGGGCCAAATACAATTTAATTTTATGCCCAATACAAACATCACACTTATAAAATATTTCTAAATTCTTCAAATATTTTTAAAATATATCGGGCCAAATACAAAATATTTTTTTTTCCAGATACAAACATTTCTAAGATCTACAGATATAATGGGCCAGGGTCACGCATTGCGCAACCAGACATCACTAGTTATACTAAGAGAGAAACCAGAGAGAGAAAACAAAAAAGAATTCTAAAGGTGCCACATAGGATAAAATCTTATGTGTCATTTTTCTATTGGTTGAGTCAAAAAATATTTACAACAATTATACTAATAGTCCTTCAAATTTTATGTAAATAAATTTTTATCAAATGGCATTTAAAACTATAGTTTAAAATAGAAAAATAAAAATTAATTAAATTTAATGGACGAGATTAATGAACATTAATGCACCGAAATTATTCCCTCCCAAAAATAATCCCCAATTTGTATTAATTGATTGATTTAAATTATAAGTTCAAAGGGATAAGGCATTTATTAATTTTCAACATTAATTCACCGGGATTTTTAACCCAACCAATTCGAATAAAAAAAAAAATCTCTCTATAAAATAATCCCTAAAATCACTACTTGATTGATTTAAAATCTAAGTTCAACGTGCGGGAAAGTGGGAATTCTTTAGTGATTAAAAAGTAATTAAATTTAATTGAAAAAGACTAATCAACATTAATGCAATGGAAGTCATTTCCCCACCAATCTTATCCCTTAATCAACGTGACGTTATCATCTTTATTGCATAGTTATGAATTTTACTTTAGTTACTGATTGTGATATCTCATTCAGACATTCATTATAAATATCCACTTCGGTCTAACTCTAACATGTACAATGACAACCAGTGAAACACTAAAGCGAAGCATCTTATATACTTTACAAAACATCTTTGTGGCGACGACCTCACTCCGATCATGTTTTATTTAACATGTAAGGTGTCTCTTTCTCCAATTGTGTGCAATATTGATTAACATGCGTTTTTAACCGTGTAGACATAAATTGCTTTGATTTATATGACATGTAACATCTGATTTATTATTTTGGTGGTTTTTTTTTACTTTTATTTGTATATAATCCTTATACATATTCCATTATTTAATTACATTTTTGGCATATAATTTATAAAATGTTGTCATTTCAAAGTATATATAACAATTTTATTTATCACAATCTAATTTAATTTTAATCGTATATTTAGTATTACAAACCAGTTACTTTATTTGTATCAATCACATTTAAAATTTAAAAATATATTTTAATAGATGTATATGTATAAACCCCGCACATCGTGTGTGTTATGTATAAATCCCGCACATCGTGTGTGTTTAATATCTAATACTTCATAGGACAAATCAGGCTTGTGAACACGTGTTCAGAAGGCACCAACAACCGCCACTATACTGTGCCACACCACCCTTATATATATGTAGATATGAAAGAAATTTTTTCTCCGGGACATGTGTCGCTTGATTATGATAGTAATACGTTTCGCGATAAAAATTTACACTAAATATCTAATGTTACTTTTGCGGATAATTTACTTTTTACTTACATCCCATTAAACTTATTTTACTCTTTTTGTGATTCTATCATTCACAAAAATTATTAGGATTTTTTTTTTTTTTTGACGGGGACGGAGGAAGTTTTGTTAATTTTTTGTTGTGCAGTAAATCAAATACTAACAATAACAAAAAGTAATCACCCTCAGCAGGTAAATCAGACTAACCAATGAACTCGGAGACGTTGACTAACAGTCAAAGCCACGATTCATATTAATTCCTAGTGCTGCCGTCAAAAATTGGTACAATCGTTGGTCGCCGCCGCTATAAAGCCAAAAAAAAAAAAAAAAACCAGGAAAAAAAAAAAGAGAAAAAGAAGGAGAGGGAAATCCCAGGAAACTCAAATCTGAAAACCCTGATATATTATAAACCCTCCCAAATTAACACTTCCCATTCTTTCCCTCTTCTTCTTTAATTGCCCTCCCCATCTGCCGCAATTTTTCTCTTTCTTCTTCCATGTGTAAAGGGATGATGCTCGGCCATTGACGGTTGAGTGAAGAAAACTTCTAGCCAGGGACACTTGGTTCTTTCTTTATTTATATAAACCCTGGAAGTGGAGGGAGGAGGTTAAGACGGGAAACCAATGGCATGGAGAAACGAGATTGTGATGCGTGACGTTAGCAAAGCTGGGCTTGTCGTCAGCAACTGTATCAGCCGGGAAGTGGTATCTCAGCTTGACCTGGAGGAAGCCTTGGAAGCTTCTAGATATGCTAGCCATCCCTATACTGCTCAACCCCGTGAGGTTATTTTTGTTTCATTCCTCTCAATTACTTATAAACTTCGTAGGAGGGGGGGTGGGTTAGACATCGTTTTCTGATTTTGTTTTATTTATGGAAGTTGTTATTGGAGAGAATGGGAATTGCTACTGTTGACAAAGAATCTAGGATTTGCTCGTGTAATAAAAGGTGGCATTTTGTAGCAATTGGGATTTTTAGACGGCGGTTTTTTTGGGACGAACCAAAACGAGTCCCATGGTTAGATTCTTGGGAAATTACGGAAGTTAGGGTTTGGATTCTGGCTTTCAGCGGCCTTCTTACGTTTTTCTTTTTTTTTTTTTGAAAGTGGATGTGTAATTTAAGTTTATTGATTAAAAGAGCAAACTGTAAGAATAAATGTCATTCGTTTCTAGTCAATTCAGAGACAGGTGAAAGCTGTTTCTTTTGCCTATCCTGTGAAGACTAGCTGTAGACAACGTATTGCTATTTTTAAGTAAAATTTGTGGACTTCCAGAGGATACTAAATGAAAAGATTTGATATTAAATCTTGTTGAAAGTAGCTTGTTTGAGTTTCTATTAGAAAGTTAGTTGGTGTGGATGGAGATGTGTTTATGTGCTGTTTCCTCACGTAGTCATAGTCTTGCTAGAAAAAAGTTTCTTTGTTTTTGCGACTGAAGTTCTATTGATTTAAAGATACAAACTCACAAAACCAGACTATTTCTCAAAGCTCTAAGCTGTAGGAGCTCTCTGCGTGGGTTGAATTTTACGAATGACGAAGAACACCTATATTTCATGAAGCTTCTTGTTTGGCTTGCATATCCATGTGCTCTAATGAGTTGTCCTTTTTCTAATTTTTGGTAATATCTTGTAAAATCTCATGGATGAATCTGAGTGGAGGCCTTAAGATCTGTTGCTGGTGTTATTTTTTGGTGTATTTTTTAATGTGATAATCCTTTCTCATCATTTAGTTTATACCTTCTTTTTTCTTGGGTCGTTTATTTATCATTTGTGATGAAATATTTGCATCTTGTCACAGTGGCCCCCATTTGTTGAAGTTGTGGACTCTTGGGAGTTACCCACTGTACTGATTGAAAGATACAATGCTTCTGGGGGAGAAGGAACTGCCTTATGTGGAATATTTCCCGACATACGTAGAGCATGGGCATCAGTGGATAATACTTTGTTTCTCTGGCGGTTTGACAAATGGTTAGTCTAATGCTATTTTTGTTGTACATTTTCTAAATCATTTTCCTCCCCTTTTCCCTTTGAAACCCTTCCAATTTCTGTCGTTGATGATGGTACTAACATGAAAGCAAATGATGTTTTATATGTGTTCATCTGATTTCCCTTTTAGAAGGATCCTTCTGTGCTGGTACTAACATGAAAGCAAATGATGTTTTATATGTGTTCATCTGATTTCCCTTTTAGAAGGATCCTTCTGTGCTGGACGTTTTGTTGGCTTTTGACTCTTTCTTTTAAATAAAAGCTTTTGCTGTGCACAGGGATGGACAATGTCCTGAATATAGTGTGGATGAACAAGCCATTTGTGCTGTTGGCTTAGCAAAAGCGAAGCCTGGCGTTTTTGTGGAAGCTATTCAGTATATCCTAATATTGGCCACTCCTGTTGAGGTATTATTATTATGGCCATACCCTGTTACCGTTATCCTTGATTTCTCACATTCTTTATCTGTTGATTACTTGTATTTGGCTTGTGACGCTTACTTTGTCTGCTCACAGTTGATCCTTGTTGGAGTTTGTTGTTCCGGAACTGGTAATGGGACCGATCCATATGCTGAGGTTTCTCTTCAACCACTTTCAGAATATAGAATTCCATCAGATGGAGTATCAATGACTTGCATTACTTGCACTGATAGGGGTCGAATTTTTCTAGCTGGACGTGATGGCCATGTATACGAGATGCAATACACTACTGGTTCAGGTTGGCAAAAGCGTTGTCGTAAAGTCTGCTTGACAGCAGGTTTGGGAAGTGTCATTTCCAGGTATCTAGTCTAGTCTTTTTAATTTTTGAAATTACGTTGATCTGTTTTTCTTGTTCTACCCATCAGTCAATTACACTGGATGTCTAAACCGTGGTCATCTTCTCTGGACCACACTTAACTTGCTATTGTTTAGAGATCTTATTGTTTCCTCTTTTCAAATTTTTGGTTAGAACCCCAATCTTGGTGCTTTTTATAGTTGTGTGACTTGCAGCATCATCTATATCCACAGGTGGGTTGTACCAAATGTATTCAAGTTTGCAGCAGCAGATCCAATTGTGGAAATGGTTGTTGATAATGAGAGAAATATACTCTATACACGGACTGAACTCATGAAAATCCAAGTTTTTTCTCTTGGAGCCTATGGGGATGATACTCTGAAGAAGGTTGCTGAAGAGAGAAATTTGATAAACCAGAAGGATGCACCCTATGGTGGGAGGCATTCAGCAGGGTCAAGGAGCTCATCGCGATCAAATAAGACATCTATGGTTTGCATTTCGCCTTTGTCTGTATTGGAATCGAAGTCTCTACATCTAGTCGCTATTTTGTCAGATGGAAGAAGGATGTACCTTACAACTGTTGCATCAGGTGGTTTAGGTGGTCTAGGAGGCAATAATCAGAGACCAAGCTGCTTAAAAGTAGTAGCAACCAGGCCTTCTCCACCTTTAAGTGTGAGTAGTGGGCTTGCATTTGGAAACCTTTCGTTGTCTGGTAGACCTCAGAATGAAGATCTATCTCTAAAGATTGAATCTGGGCATTATTCCGCCGGAGCTCTAGTCCTTTCTGATTCATCTCCATCAACTAGTTCCTCTCTTCTGATTGTCAATAGGGATTCAACTACCCAAACCTCTTCCAGTGGTTTGGGAGCTGGTGTTAGGAGCACTCGTGCCCTTAGAGAATTGGTTTCATCCCTCCCTATTGAAGGTAGAATGCTTTTTGTGGCAGATGTGCTGCCGCATCCTGATACTGCTGCAGTTGCGCAGTCATTATATTTACAGACAGAATTTTGTGGATTTGATAACACGTGGGAGTCCAGTGAAAAGGCTTCTCGAAAACTCTGGGCAAGGGGTGACCTGTCAACCCAACATATATTACCAAGGAGGAGAATCATTGTATTCAGTACAATGGGCATGATGGAGGTAGTTTTTAACAGACCAATTGATATCCTTAGAAGGTTGCTGGAGTCCAGCTCACCAAGGTCAATTTTGGAGGATTTTTTCAATCGTTATGGAGCTGGTGAAGCAGCTGCTATGTGTTTGATGCTAGCTGCAAGGATAATCAATTCTGAAGCTATCATAAACAACATTGTTGCGGAAAAAGCAGCTGAAGCTTTTGAGGATCCAAGACTAGTTGGAATACCCCAGCTAGAAGGCAGTGGTGCATTATCAAATGCTAGAACTCCTAGTGGAGGCTTCAGCATGGGTCAGGTTGTTCAAGAAGCTGAGCCAGTATTCTCTGGTGCTTATGAAGGCCTCTCCTTGTGTTCTTCGAGGTTGCTTCTACCTTTGTGGGAGCTCCCGGTTTTTGTTGCCAAAAGTGGCACAGGTTCGTCTGACGCTACAGTTGAAAACATGGTAGTTGTATGCAGGCTCTCTTTTGGGGCAATGCGTATTCTTGAAGACAAAATTCGGTCTATAGAAATGTTTTTAAGTTCTCGAAAAAATCAGAGAAGGGGGCTCTATGGTTCTGTTGCTGGTTTAGGGGATTTAACAGGTTCGATACTGGTTGGAACTGGCTCAGATATTGGTGCTGGTGATAGAAACATGGTTCGTAATTTGTTTGGTTCTTATTCTCGCAATTTGGAATCTGGTGATGGTGGCTCATCTCAGAAAAGGCAGAGACTTCCTTATACTTCTGCAGAGCTAGCTGCCATGGAGGTAAGATTGGTTCCAAATCAGTATTAAGTCTGTTTTATATTACAACCTAAGTATGATAACATACAAATTGGATTATGATACAGGTTAGATCAATGGAATGTATCAGACAGTTACTCCTCAGATGCAGTGAAGCTCTGTTTCTGCTCCAGCTCCTTTCACAGTATCATATTACACGATTGATTCATAGTTTTGATGCATCTATGAAGGGGATCTTGGCTCAGTTAACATTTCATCAACTAGTTTGTGAGGAAGATGGTGACAAAATGGCTACCCGGCTTATAGCTGCATTAATGGAGGTACTACATTGTGTCAATTTGCAACCTATCGGCTATTCAAATTCAATGTGGTTCAATTCACTTTGTTGCCTGTGTTGCTTTCTTTGCGCCGGCTTTTTGCTTACCAAAGATAATTGTCTGTTTTTCAGTATTACACTGGTCCTGATGGCAGGGGGACAGTTGATGATATCAGTGCTAGACTACGGGATGGTTGCCCTAGCTACTACAGAGAATCTGATTACAAATTCTTCCTAGCTGTTGAATGTCTTGAAAGAGCTGCAGCTACTTTGTATTCAGAGGAAAAGGAAAGCCTGGCTAGGGAGGCCTTAAACTACCTTACCAGAATTCCAGAGTCCGCAGATCTTCAGACTGTTTGCAAGCGCTTTGAAGATTTAAGGTCTGATACCCTTAACTTGTAAATCATGCTTGTTCCTGATACAAAGGCCAATTATGCTCCGGTGAAGATAGCTTATTCTGACATGAAAATTGCAGGTTCTATGAAGCTGTTGTTCGATTGCCTTTGCAGAAGGCTCAGGCATTGGATCCTGCTGGTGATGCTTTCAATGAGCACATTGATGCTAGCGCTCGTGAATATGCACTCAGCCAGCGGCAACAATGTTATGAGATCGTTGGTAGTGCTTTACGTGCTCTAAAAGGAGATTCTTCAGCGAAAGAATTTGGGTCTCCCATCAAAGCTGTTGCTCAATCTGCACTTGATCCAAACTCACGTAAAAAGTTTATTAGTCAGATTGTGCAACTCGGTGTTCAGTCGTCAGATAGAGCCTTTCACGAATACCTTTATCGAACACTGATTGATATAGGACTTGAAGATGAGTTGCTGGAATTTGGAGGCCCTGACTTGGTGCCATTTTTGCAAGCTGCTGGTCGTGAACCTTCGCAAGAGGTTTGCTTTATCGTTTTTTGATTTGATAACTTTTTATGTAATAATATCTATGAAATGAGTTTATTTTATTTTATTTTATTTTATGTATACAATGTTATTTTGTCCATCTTCAGGCTGTTTCCCCCATGGTATCTTCAACATCTCCACTTGGACGTCCTAGATTGCCGATCCCAGTGAATCAAGCAAAGTATTCTGAACTTCTGGCTCGATATTATGTCTTGAAGAGACAGCATTCTCTAGCTGCCCATGTCTTGGTAAGACTGGCGGAAAGACGCTCCACAGATGGTGGGAATGCTCCTTCTCTGGAACAAAGGTTCTCTCAGCTCTATCTTGAACTTTTTGGTGCCTTAGTTTTTTCTTGGATGGTTGCAACAATGATGAATGATGGACTTTCCTGAAATCTGTATGACGTTCTTCATAAGATTTTCTGAATGAATCTGGACAATGTAAAGTAGCTGACGCACAATTGACATACATGCTTAGTAAAACACTTACAAAAGGAATGTGCGAATAAAGTGACATTGGATTGGCATTTTACCTAAGTAGCCTCATAATGCTGGCTTTAGAATCCGGGCATTATTTATGATATAGTTTGTAGTCTCTTTGATCAGATATTGTTGTTTTTTTAGGTAGTACCTGTGTTTGAAGAAATGTATATGTTTATATTCTTTTCCTTATGTTCTTGTTCAGCTAATAATTGGTGGTTTCTTCATGGTCCTAAAATAGTGGCAACGGCATTATGCTTTTAATTGCCTAGTATGCTAGGGGAAACTGATTTTTTCGAAACTTATCCTGCTTATCTTTCACCTTTGTGAGGTTGAAATGTTAGATAATAATCAGAAAAAAGCCAAAGGGTAGGTGGTCCTATGTTCGCGTCAGCTGACGGCAAGAGAATTGTAATCAATTGGGAAGCTATAAATGCTGTATGAAATAGAAAGTGATATAGTGAATTGTCGCTCTTTAGTTGCATTTTTCTGCAATCAATCAAATTGGTTGCTTGCAGTCGATGAATCTCTTTCTGTTCTATTGAATAGAAATGATTATCAATTCACTTCTGTGTCTGCTAAAGCTGATATTTCACTGTGACTTTTTTCCTGCAAATCCAGGTCCCAGTACCTAAAGAGTGCTGTACTTCAGGCCAAGAGTGCCTCTCAAACTGATGTTAAGGGTGATTCTTCTCGTGGTTTACTTGACAATGGGCTTCTTGACATGCTGGAAGGGAAGCTTGCTGTTGTTGAATTCCAAATCAAAATCAAAGAGGAATTGGAAGCTATAGCCTCCAGGACAGAAGGTTCCTCGAGCGGTGTTGAATCTCTTCCTAATGACCCTCAAAATGAAAATAGTCCATCCGGTGATAGCACTTTCTTAACCACTGTACGAGAAAAGATAAAGGAGTTGTCATTGGATTTGAAGAGCATCACTCAACTTTATAATGACTATGCTGTTCCCTTCGAACTGTGGGAGGTATGTTTCCTTTCGAATCCCTCTTTCACCTTTACAACGAACTTCAAAAAGGTTCAGAAAGAGCAGAAAAGAGACATGCTATCTTTTCTCTCTGGTGTTTTTTTCTTCTCTCTTCTTCTGTTTCTCCCCCTTTGCCTGTGTCGTGCTGAAGAATCATTTATGATTATTGGCTATTCTCACTTGAATGCATGCTATATAGAATGATCTCCATTCCTTATTAGGGGACAACATAATTTGATGTATATTTTGGTTTGGGTCGAAGCTCAAACTTCATCCATGTCCACTCATGTCTTTACTCGTGTTTTACCTGTTTTTAGGGACAAGAACTAATTTCTTTGATTCTCGGGCTTAGAAATTGATGGTTTCAGTGGCAGGGTGAATGTCAGGCATTATTGAAGGATGTTGTATGGTGGCTTTAGTCTTCATTAACTTTTTTTTGTGTATTCAATTTAGTCAATTAGTAGCTTCAAATTTAAATTTGTCTTTCTTCTGGAGTTTGAGCGATTACCCTCTTATTTGGCTAACTAACCGTCTTATTATCTCATGGGCTAATGCAACTTATAAGGTTTCTGTCTTAGCATCTAATTTTGAATAGAATCACAATCCCATGCAAAGATGCTGTGCAGAAATAGGGATTCTGAGTGAAGGAAGTTTCATTCTTGATTTTGTGGATATTTGCATTGCGTTAGATGGACTATATCAGCGTTTGCAGGCATTCTTTTCTCATGTAGGGCTTTCTATTTGACTCTTCTTTGTTTTGTGGCCTGCAGATATGTCTCGAAATGCTGTACTTTGCTAGCTATTCTGCTGATGCTGATAGTAGCATTGTAATAGACACTTGGGCTAGACTTATTGATCAAGCTCTTTCAAGGGGTGGAATTGCTGAAGCCTGCACAGTATTGAAGAGGGTTGGGTCTCGTCATTACCCTGGAGATGGAGCTGTCTTACCTTTAGATTCATTGTGTCTACACCTTGAGAAGGCAGCTCTGGTATGCATCTTCTTTTTAGCTTTTTTGTCTGGTGCACTTTTGTATCGAATTACCCCATTTAATATTACTACATGCATGGTATATTATATTCAGAGTACTCTTATATTGATGCATTTGAGAACGACTAATTTCTTGGCTGTTTATTTTTTTTTCCTTTTCCTTTTTTTTGTTGTTGTTATCATTGTTTTATGATCCTCGCAGGAGAGAGTGGTTTCGGGGGTTGAATCTGTTGGAGATGAAGATATTGCAAGAGCTCTCTTAGCTGCTTGCAAAGGTGCAGTGGAGCCTGTACTTAATACTTATGACCAGTTATTATCCAATGGAGCAATAATACCATCTCCGATTTTGAGGTTACGCCTTCTTCGTTCTGTTCTTGTGCTGCTTAGAGAGTGGGCAATGTCATCCTTAACACAGAGAATGAGTACAAGTACTACAGGATCTCCTTTAGTTGGTGGAGCATTTTCATTTGGCCATGCTAACCAGGGGGTTCGTGATAAGATTGCAAGCGCGGCAAACAGGTTAGCTTCTTGTCCTTAACTTATCAATATTAACCTGATTATTTTAGTAGTCAAATTTCATGTATTGCTTACTATTGACCCCTGGATGGACAAAATGTTCTCGGAAAATAATCTTTACAATTACTATGAACATATAGATGACATCGAAAAGTTCTTAAAATTTTCTCGATTGCCAAGTCATGACAAAATTTTATGGTGGCTATTTACTCCTTTTTCTGGGAGGAGGCTCTGGAGGAGATTAGTTCTGACTGGAATTTGCATTTTGTTCTCATGTTGCGTGGCATCTCATCAAAATTCCTGACCCTTATCGACACCTACCCTTCTCAAGGTTTTCAATGCATAGATGTAATGGATTTCTGTAGTTTGGATGCATTGTCGAAGTTTTCTTTTTTATAGGATGGCTGGTTTCCTCAGATTAAGCAGAAAATTGAGACAACCAAAACTATCACCCCATTATGCATGTAGGAAAAAGAAAATGATATTGGCTAGCAATCTCCCCCTAGTATATACACAAATTACTAATTCCAGCTACGACACCCATGAGGAGGGAGGCTTATAGATCTCCCAAGTTTGTAATATGAATTTTTTATTGTCTCTTTGGGTGATGTGGACATGTGGTTGCATGTGATACGCCTTAATTTCTTTTAACGTATAATTGTTTTATTCTTTTTTTCCTGTGATTTCACGGGGATAGGTACTTGACTGAGGTGCGGAGATTGCCTCTTCCACAGAATCAAACCGAGCCTGTGTCTAGAGGTTTTCGAGATCTGGAGGAATCATTACAGAGTCATTTTCCATTTGATCGGTTTTGATTGTCAATTCTGCATACCCATCTTTTTTTTTTTTTTTGGTTGTATCATCAATTAATGTAGCTTCACATCATTGTAATCATTCACCCTCTTTTTCTTTCTCCAATAGTTCGATACATACATACAAAATGTAGTCGTTTGCATTGGATGTACACATTGCCATTTTAAATGCCGTCGTCGTCCAAAAACCAGAGGCCAGAACTGGTCTGTTCAGAGTAGCAAGCTCTTCATTTTGCTTGGTTTTAATGGTTGAAATGGTCGGCAAGCAAATATTACTCTCTGGCTGTCAACGGTAGTGTCCTTTTTTTTTTTTTTCAATTTTCAACACAAATAGAAATACTCCCTATTTTTTCATCATTAATAGTTTCTCTGATCTTTTTTTATGAGCCAAATATTTAAATTAAGCGATTTTTTTACCAAAAAAGAAGAAAAAATGATTCCGTAGTTGGCCAGCAAAACCAAAAGCAATCTTGCGTTCATTGGATGATAAAGAGTAATCCCTTTTTGAAATAAAATAATAAAAAAGGAATGAAAAATAAAAATTTCACTTAAGAGCCCTAGTTGTAGAGATTAGCCCATAAATATTTAAAAGCCCAATATGGAATTTTTCTAAACAGAGCCCAAGAAAGAAACATTAATCCAATTACAACCAACACACGATTAGTTCCAAGCTCCAACTACAAAATTTTAGTGAAACACTGCGGCGCGAGCTTCATCAAATTCGCTCATATTCTCCCAATTGGTAGACGAATTCGATAATTTTGGTTCTTAGGGTTTTATCTCTTTTTGATTCAGACATTTTAAATTCTAGGGTTCTTCACCAGCTTCAATTCATCTTTATCACTATTCTGATTCCGGCGTGTATCTCCGTAATTTAATTGTTGGCGTGGGAAAGAGCATTATTTGTGCGAGTAATGCGCAGCTCTTGAGGTTTAAAGGGATTAATTGAAGGATAAGCTCATCCCGAAGGATTTCAAACTTCTGATAGGTTTGTTTGCTGTGAATCATTTGCATATTTCTTTTTCTATGTCTGTTTTTTGTTGCCAGCTGTGCTGAAGCTAATTTTTTCTTATTGGGAGAATGAATGACACAGTCTTCTTACAAACATGCAGCCGGAGTAGTTGCGCCGCCGATGGCAGCTCCGGGTCCTCCTCCGGTTGGAGTTCCCCAGGGAGGGCAGTTGAACGGTCCGAGTTTCTCTTTTGCTGGGAATTCACAGTTAGGACCAATGAATCAGCCATTGCCGTCTGTATGTACTCCTTTCCCATTTTTTAAGTTATCTATGTTTCAGTAGCATTATTGGACTTGTATTCATTCTTTTTTATTTTTGGTTTCTGTTGATCAAACTGTTGGAGATGATAAGTTGGCCGCTAATTTTACCATGATAATCACCCTACATAAGGGTTACACTGCAGATATGTAAATTTTGCTCTTGAAACAGTTGGTTTTGGTGACGTGACATATTGTTCTGGTGGGTTCATTTATTCGATGTTAGGAGTTGACATTTCATAATATGCAAGAAGCTAGGGGGAGTGAATCACAATAGTGCAAAGTTTGTACTTTAACTAGGATAGAGAATAAGGTGTTTGATGTTTTTTGGGTTTTTTTTAATTAATTTATTTTTTGAATTTCGTAACTGTGCCCTAAAGAAGGTAAATATGGCCAACAATTGACTACTTTTAAGTAGGGATTGCAGATCTCAATTTAGTTTAGCCCGGAAATTTGTGATTACAGGAGGCCGTAAGAGGAATTTTAATATTTTTCCATCGAAATCGAATCAGATCAGTATGAATATTTTTACAGGATCTTATGTTCTCAAAGGATTGCTTGATTAGTTGCTCTTTCAGCTTATGTTTTAGTGCATTGCTATATAAGTGAACACCTGGAATGCTTAAAGCTGGTTTGCTCTTTACTGCAGAATAATATTGTTGATGCCATTCAAGATAGAGAAGCTTTTTCCACTCCGCAGGCACCACATACTACACCACAACCAGGTCAAACAAATTCTACTTCAAGGCCTGGCAACTCAGCAACTGTTAATATGCCTCTTGCTCCATCATATCAGGTTCTTTCAGGATTCCCAAACACCCCTATTACACATGGCATGCCAGGAATTTCTCCATCAACTGCCAATATGACAGCCACTCCACCTGGAGAATTTTCTGCTGCGTTTCCGAGGCCAACAATGCAAGCACCACATCTCCAGCATCCAGCATATGCTTCTTATCCTTCTGTTCCTCCCGTGTCCTCTTCTTTACAGGGTGCTTGGTTGCAGCCCACACAGGTTAGTGGCCTGCTAAGACCACCTTTTTCACCATATCCTGCGGCTTTTACCAGTCCCTTTCCTTTGCCAGCTCGCAGTACACCAATCCCATCTGTTCCATCACCTGATCTACAACCCCCTGGTGTTACTAATGTGGGAGCATCTTCTGGGACTCCCATTGCTTTTGATGGTTCTGCCAGACAGCTAACAACCAGTCCAATGCAACAGGAGACTCCTCCTGGAGTTGGTAAGATTAGAGTTCAGCCCAAAGCATATGGGAATTATTTTTTTGGTTTGAAATATGTGAGATTGTTGCCTTGTTTTTCTTGCTTTTAAAGTTGCTGATTATGTGTTGCTTCCTGTGATCTACAGACAATGCTAAAGATGCTGATATTATTAACGCCAAAGATGGGTTGGCAGTCAGCGAACAACTGGCCTGGTCGGCACATAGGACTGAAGCAGGAACTGTATACTATTATAATTCTGTGACGGGGCAGTCTACCTATGACAAACCTTCTGGTTTTGTTGGAGAGGTATTTTGATTTACCCGCATTTTGCTCCAATCACTAGGCATAGATTGCTTCTTACTATGTCTTTACGTTTGTTTTCTAATGACATTTCTTTTATTGCTTCTTGCAGCCTGAAAAAGTTATTGCTCACCCGACTCCAGTTTCATTGTAAGTATCATTTTCATCGCTTCATGAAGATTTTCTCAGGATCAATTTTTACTGAAAACTGATTAATGTCTTTACAGATTGAAAGACTTGACAGTTTCTTTCTTATGTTGATTTATGTAGTACTAACGTGCTTGGTACTGGATTATCTTATGTTTTTAACCTACCATTATGGCTTAGATGGAATAATAGCTGACATTTTTCATCTCTCTCTCTCTCTCTCTCTCTCTCTCTCTCTCGTTGTCAATTTAAGTTATCTGTAGTAGTTAATATCCTCTAATCTGTCTGCTTGTATTCAGGGAGAACTTGGATGGTTCAGATTGGGTTCTGGTTACAACTAATGATGGCAAAAGATATTATTATAACAAGAAAACTAAGGTATTGTTTCCATCTGTTTCTTTTTCTTCTATGTCTTCTCTTGAAAGTAATGTTTTCTGTACGAAAAGATTGTTGCCTTTCATCAACACCTTGCAATGGGTTATTAACCCTACCTCTTCGGAAGTCCTTCCTGTTGTATGAGTTTTATTGAAATGTGGGTTAGTTTTGATGGTCATACAGAGGTTTGTTTTGCTTCTAACTTATATGCTATTAGATCCCTTTTAGTTTATATGCTATTAGACCCCTTTATATTATTTTAATTTAATTATGATGTACAAGTGCTTTGAACACCTCTCGGCCTTTAAAGTTTTAGAATGTTATTTTGAGTATTTGCCAATGAATAATTTTGGAGGCTGCGGCATTTCTGCTGGTTGGCCTTTGAGATTTTCATTAAATTGTTCCCCATAATGGAAATTCATAATTGTGCGTGATATGTAATTGGATCCATAGAGGTTACATGCAATTTTATGATTTGTAATCCCTGTGCCGTTATGTTCTTGGACAGTTGAGCAGTTGGCAAATTCCGAGTGACGTAACAGAGGCTGTGAAGAAGGAGGACGCTAATTTATTTAAGACGCAGCCCATGTCAGTGTCTACTACTAATGTTATAACTGAAAAAGGATCAACTCCTGTTACTTTGAGTATCCCTGCTGCTAATACTGGTGGTCGTGATGCCACAGTTCTGAGGTCATCAAGTACAGGGTCATCTTCGGCATTGGATCTCATAAAAAAGAAGTTGCAGGATCCTGGTGCTCCCTTGCCTGTAGCCATGGCTTCAGATCCAAATGGCTCCAAATTGGCTGAGGGTACAGTTAGGGATTCTGAAACTGAGAATACCAAAGAAAAAATAAAAGATTCTAATGGAGAAAGTAATATCTCGGATTCATCTTCAGAATCAGATGATGAGGATAATGGACCATCAAAAGAGGCATGCATCATCCAATTCAAGGTATATCTTTTCTCCCTTCTACTGAAAACAAACGAATTTTCTTAATTTTTTTTTCACTTATCCTACTAGGTTTGCTTATCATAAGCATGGAAAAATTTGTATGGGTAAAATCTGTTAGTATTCCGAATTTTCAAACTAGGAATACATAATGATGTGCATTGCTTTAGTCTCCAGAACATATGTCCTTCCAGTTTTTTAAGTGCTTTTGTGATTTTCGGCTAATTGTTGAGATGAAAGTTTTTTTTTTTTTTTCTTAAGGGTAATATGAAAGAGTTTGGTATGCTCTTGTTTGTTTGACAAGATGGAAATCCACATACATCAAAGATTTTCTGGTAAATTATGTGATTTTGAATGTAGTTTTGTCACAATAAGCACAGAAATTTCTGATCCTTTATTCCTCTCTGTGCCCGGCAATATGGATCATGTGTGGCCATCATGCTCATTCAAGATGCATATTTTCATTTAATTTCAAAATATCATATCCTTCCATCAAGATGCATAATTTTTGTTTAATTTCAAAACATCATATCCTTTGTCTTAACATTTCTATCGATTTATGGGCTTTAAACCAGCATTTTACTGATTTTGATTTTGTATCCTCATTTAATAATCAGTTAGATGCAGGTTGTGATATTATTTTCTTGTAATTGCAGGAAATGCTCAAGGAGCGTGGCGTTGCGCCATTTTCAAAGTGGGAAAAGGAACTTCCAAAGATAGTTTTTGATCCTAGGTTTCAGGTTTGTCAAATTTGAACATTTTCATGCACTGCCCAACTTTTTTACATGAGTATATCAGTATACTTTGTTTCCCGTCCCTTGCATCTTTTATGTTATGTCTGTTGCTATAAGCTGTGGATCTTGATTATGGTGCCTCTTGTTCAGTATGTTTTGAGTCCATGAGTTTAACTAACCTTGGAATATGGTTGCTGTTGCTTCTCTTGCTCTCCGCTTCTTCTAGTATGTGACCCCATATGTCTTTTTGATATTTTTTTCTTTACACGTTGTGGCTTGCACATGACATGGGCATTTGTCTTCTGGACTTCTGACTGATGCCAGGGATTTGTCTGACTCTGTCTTAGCTTCTTAGAATTAAGTGCTCTAGATTGTTTGGTGATGGAATGGATGAGTTGGCTTATTTTTTTAGCTTTTGGATGTTAAAAGATGAGTTGGCTATTTGTCTCAGGATCACATGTTCTTGTAATAGTCTTTCTGAAGTTGTTTTGGAATAACTTGTTAGTCGAAGTCAAAGATTGTTATAGATCCCGAAGTTATCCAATCCCCTCTCCCCCCTCCCAACACACACAATAAAAAAAGGGAGTGGATGTGGGATTTTGGGGCTCCTTTCTTGTTATCCTACCAAGTTTTCACCCTGCTCCAAGAAGATTAGTTAGTCCAGTTTCATGGGATTGCATCTCTTAAATGGAATGGATCGTAACACTAAACATGTATCGAAGATGGGATAGCACCAATAGTTTTTGAATTCTATGTCATCGTTCGGATGCCTGTTTAAATGGAATGAGTTTACTTTGTCTAGAAATGAATAATATAAGGAAAGGCACAGGATTAGTTAACCAATTTCATGTCATCGTGCATAATAAGGGGCCTATATGTTGATGCAAGATGGGAGTGAAGTATTTGCATTTTTTCCTTATAAAAGAAGAGCAGAAATGAGTAAGTGATAGGTCTATCTGCCTTCTGGCCATGTTGTCCATTGAAGATGACTGCTTAAAAAAATGATTTAAACCCAGGGGAGCTCAATAGCTGATGGTTCTTAAATTTCTAAGCCTTGTCATTGATCTGCTCTTTTCATGGAAGATGTATCTAGGATTGCTTTCGTGGGTGGATTTTACTCCTGTTATCCTTTACACTTACTTGGCAAGATGAAAATGGCAAACAGCCCTTTGACTACTGACTACTGAGATAGATGTGGGAAATGTTCCTGTCCCTTTCTAGTTTCATCCTTCTGTTTCTGGTGAGAATCTTATCTGTTTCTGATGATGTCCTTTTTCTTTCTTCTTTTCCACTGTGTTTAGAGGTGTATTTAAAATTTCCCGCAATTTTGCAACTATGGATCACTTGTTTTATAGATGACTTGAGTATTTGGGTTTGAGGCTTGCTGATAATAGTTGGGTTTCCGAGGATATGGTTAATAATCCAGAGATTAGTTTAAATAGTTGGGTTTCATATGGCTTATACTCCACGGATTGGCGATGCAGATTAGTTTCTTCGTTTTCTTTTAGTATACAGTGATTTTTACTGCTATCCAACTGGTTCCTGGATCTGCACCACCTTGACATAATAATATCCCTTCTTATAAGTCAATTTCTTATGAAAATTACATTATTTTATGTTATTTGTGTTGATTTTTTAATTTTGATAGCCAGTGAAATGGGGTGTCATCTTTTCTTGTAATCTCATTTTAAGATATAAGCATGAATGTTTCAACACATTAAGTGTGTCTTAATAGCTCTAAAGAAACAAAATTGTTACAGTTTGTACTATTCTTCCATCAGAAGTTGTAGATTATCAAACTTTGTTTTCATATTTCCATTGGAGAATTTTATGCCTCCGGTGTGTGTTATTTCTGGAAGGGTTTCTTTTTGTGCTCAATAATTTGGGCTGGTAATATCCTTGATATCCTGCTGGTCTGCTTCTTGCATGGCTTATAGGAGTTTGTGTAGATGATTATATTTTTTGTAGAACTAACTGTTTGACCGAAACACTTGTATTGTGAATCTTCCGAGCAAATGAGTATACTTCTAAGCTTCCATCAGTAGTACATGCGTTATCTTAGATCAGGGAAATGGGTGACTGAAACATCACTTTTCACAGTTAATTACTTCCTGAAATTGACATGGCTTCTGGAAAGCATTGAAATTGAAACAGAATTATATTTAAATTCCAGTAGTAGTTGATAAATAAGTTCATGTCCAGAAAAGTTGTATAGTAAAACATGGTAATATTTAGCAAAAAATTTCTCAAAATTATGTCTTACAAAAATTGGTTCCTATGTATATAGTCATATTTTTGTGTTGGATTACATTATAGACCTTCAGTTTGCGGCTATTTAATTTGTTGAATTATACCAGTGTCTTATGGACAGAATATTGATATCGTCAAATACTTGTCTAAATTTGTTTTGCAATTAGCAAAAAGGATTTTTTTGATGGCAATATTGCTTCTATTTCTCTGATATTTCTAAATATTACCAGGCTTAAGGATATGTTTTGTGTTTTCTTCTTATGTACTTTCCTCTCTTCATTCTCTTATTTTTCTAATGTTAGCAGGCTTGAGAATGTATCTCATGTTTTTCTAATTTGATGATTTGTTGATATTGCAGGCCATTTCTAGTCAAAGTGCTCGAAAAGCTTTGTTTGAACACTATGTTCGTAATCGTGCTGAAGAAGAGCGTAAGGAGAGGCGAGCAGCACAAAAAGCTGCAGTCGAGGGGTTCAAGAAATTATTAGATGAAGCAAAAGAGGTTTATGCTTTTTACTTTCTTTTGTTATTGTGGAATTAATACGATGTTTGCTGTTATGTATTTGAGGGATATTTCGACCATAACAATTTTTTCCTTTCAGCAAATTGACCGCCAAACTGATTATCATAAGTTCAAGGACAAATGGGGACATGATGCACGGTTCTTAGCATTGGATCGAAAAGATAGAGAGGCTTTGTTGAATGAAAGGTATGGCTTAAAGTGTTTTGACACTTGTGACAAATTGTAGTTGTGTAATGCTCTAGCCTGTTGTTTGATTGCATCAGGGCAAATACCCATATTTTTCTAAGAGTGAGTGCCCCTTAAAATTCAAAATCTGAATTGATGAAAGTTACTCTCCTTAGCTAAGCATGCTTGTATATAGTACAGTTTCTACTGGATAACTTTTTTTTTTTTGGGAATTGAGGGCAAAAATGGACTGTTTTCATTTTTCGTTTTGGCTTTGAATTTAAATATATTAAAAGTTGGTATTGGAAATGTAAAAGGTTGTAATAAAGTGTATTGGAATTTGGAAAATATTTGAGTTTTAGAGAAGAATAAAAATTAAATGGATAAATGTGCAAGTCCTTATCTTTCTTTGTATGAAAATTTGAGTGTTGGGATGGACTCTGTTTTTTAAACAATTGCCCATGGTGTATAATTTTTAGTCATTATTTATTTATAGCTGCTTACACACAGTGATTTGTGCGTTCAGGATCTTGCCTCTTAAGAGAGCTGCTGAAGAAAGAGCTCGAGCTGTTCGTGCAGCAGCTATTTCGAGTTTTAAGTCCATGCTTCAAGAAAAAGGAGATATTACCTCAACCTCTCATTGGTCCAAGGTATGCCAGTTTGACTTCGTTTCATTTAAATTCTGCCTCTGTATGTAGTTTAGTGGATGTTTATGGAAAAAATTCTTTTAGTTTTTTGTTGTTCAACTGCATTTAGATATGAGTTATTTTCTTCTTGCAGGTAAAGGATGGTTTGAGGAATGATCCTCGTTACAAATCGATTCAGCATGAAGAAAGGGAGGCATTATTTAATGAGTATATTTCGGAGCTGAGGACTGCTGAAAAGGAGAAGGAACGCTTGGTGAGAGATAAAAACCATGAGGAGGTTAGAGAGAGAAGATTTGCCATATATTTTTTAAATACTTTCTATTACTTTCTCATTTTTAGGTTGTGCTAATGCAAAAAGACCTCAATGATTGCTTTATTAAATATATTGCTTTGTTACCTGTACTAAGTTCTCTTTTCTCGTGTTTTGTAGGACAAATTGAAAGAAAGAGAAAGAGAGTTGCGTAAAAGGAAAGAAAGAGAAGAACAGGAAGTGGAGAGAGTGCGAGCAAAAGTTCGTAGGAAGGTTGCTGTTGAATCTTATCAAGCTCTGTTGGTTGAGATCATTAAAGATCCTCAGGTATGAGCAGTTTTTATATATAGAGTCATAAAGAGTGAATGAATTCTGTGTTTTGACTAAATTCTTCATCTTCTACCTTAGATTTGGGGATTATCACAGCTTCTGAATCTTCTCATTTTAACTCTTTAATGTCTATACGCTTATTTGATCTTGTAGATGGGCATTCTGATCTATGCTTTTGAAAACTTCTTTATATTTCTTTTCAGGCTTCTTGGACAGAGTCAAAGCCAAGATTGGAGAAGGACCCTCAAGGACGTGCTGCAAATCCGCTACTTGATCTATCAGAAATGGAAAAGCTTTTCCGTGAACATGTAAAGATTTTACAGGAGGTAATGTTCTCTGTCACTTTATTATCTGAGTACTATATGGCCGTAAATTATTATGTTTAATCTTCATTCTTCCGTGAGTTAAAATGTTGTATTAAAGTCAAGTACACTTAAGCTGGTATTTAATAATACATGTGTCGGGCATAAACCTACAAGATATAGACTAGAAGTTGTGACCTATTGAGGCGACATTGTCCTGAAACTGAACCACAGAAAATATAATGAAATTTCTTTCTGAGGCAGATTCTAAAAATTTATAAAAACTTGGTAACTGGAAAACCACTACTTTCCCCAGGGATCTAGCCCTCACTTCATTTAAATTGTGTAGTCATTTCCATCGCATATTGTTTTTTTTATCTGTTTCCGGAGATTGGGTACGTGATGGAATTTTGTCTGAGTTATGATGACTCATTTAAATTTGAATATGCTAGGTCCACTTCCAGCTTTTGTAGCTATGTGGGTCGTGTGCTTACCAGACATCTATGCGCTTACATTAGTTTTCGAGTTGTCTCATACTTTTTAAACCGGTATTTTTCTGGTGCATTAATTAAAAAGTTCATATATGCTGATCCAATATAGTGTGGCGAATGATTGGGAAATATCAGCTCTAAAACATTAGCATTTCATGATGGTGATGATTTTATTAATTGCTGTATGATTATGATGGCATTACTTACATTGTCTTTGTCTTCATTTATTCTCAGAGAGCTATTTCTGATTTCCAAGCCTTATTAACTGAGAAAATAACTGAAGCCGCTGCTCGAGAAAAAGATGGTAAAACAGTTGTATCATCATGGTCAACTGCGAAGCAACTACTGAAGCCTGATCCCCGGTATGCAAAGGTGGCAAGGAAAGACAGGGAGACCTTGTGGAAGAGACACGTTGAGGAAATTCACCGAAGACAGAAGGCAGCGACTAATGACGAATCCGAGGAGCACAAGGAAGGAAGAAAGAAAACCAATATTGGAGCCGATAAAAATTTTCTAGGGTCAAGAACTCATGATAGAAGAGATAGATAAATCATGGCTCAGAAGGGAAGTGAAGCTCTATATGTGGATATGAATAGTTTATTTTAGGCTAAGAGATAGAATAGAGTTATGGCGGTCTGCCTTTGGTCTTTTTTTTTTTGGGCAAAGATGTAACATTTGTTAAATTAGCTACATTGGTAGAATGGGAGAAGAATTTATGTGCCAAAGTTTGTAGTTAGTTTAAGAAACCTGAAATTCACAATTTTAATGGGTGGAGGTTTATACACTAAGGAATTCGTTGTCTCCCTATCAACTCAGCGCGGGAGCAAGAGACTAGTCACTTTTGTGGGCGAACAACACCTTTCAATTAAAGAAAAGAAAAAGAAAAAAAGAAATTCATCATAGATGATCAAACTTTATCATCTCAAACTATCAAAACAAAACATTTTCCTATTCCAATCATTGCATCAATCAACTGACATTGAAACCTTTTCCAAAAAAACTGACATTGAAACTTTTAATGCCTATCAAAATGGGGAAAACAATACTGTCCGGTTTCAGATTTCACTTTTAGTACAATTTAAACTAGAAATGAAAACCCAAATTGACTTTTAGTACAATTTGAACTAGAAATGAAAACTCAAATTGGACAATAATTATGGGACGGAGGGAGCAATAATTATAGTAAAAATATGGTCCCTTTTCCCCTTGTATCAAAGAATTAACCAAATATAGTAGCCACTTGAGGCACATGAACTGGGAAATCGTCAATTTCATCCATCCAAGGATTCAGTATCTTCTCTTTAGTTGGATCTATAGACCTCAATGCTCGCCAAACAGCACTGTTACACTTGAACCCGGAACCAAAAGCGATTTGCCATGTCCTATCACCATTTTTCATCCTCCCTTTTGCCTCACAATAAGCCAATTCATACCATAATGAACTGCTTGATGTATTCCCAAATCTGTAAAGTGTCATCCTTGATGGCTCCATATGGTACTCACTAAGTTGAAGGTTCTTCTCCATTTCATCCAAAACAGCTCTCCCTCCTGCATGAATGCAAAAATGCTCGAATGCCAACTTGAAATCCGGGATATAAGGCTTCAACTTCGCCTTCTTGAACAACTTTCTCGCGATCAACGCGGCCAAGAACATCAGCTGTTCCGACATCGGGAGGACTAGCGGACCTAGAGTGGTAATGTTCGCTTTCAAGGTGTCTCCGGCCACGGCCATGAGATCCTTCGACAATGCCACGCCCACGACTTTGTTGTCATCGTCTTGTTGGTAGACGCAACCATAGCTCTTATCGTCCGCGCCTCTGTGTGTACGGACGGTGTGGACGAGTTCGTACTTTGACCGGCGGCGATCCGAGGGTTTGTTGGAGAGGAGAATGGCTGCCCCTCCCATGCGAAAAATGCAATTTGTCATCAGCATTGATTTGTTGTTGCCATAGTACCAATTCAAGGTCAAGTTTTCTGTACTAACCACTAGTGCATAGGTGCTTCGATGGGCCTATCGTCACAAGATTTAAGAAACATAAATAGATATTTATTGCCACGAACTTAGAAAACCAACAGCAACTCATCGTGGCAAATCCTTGTCGCATGTTTAGATAGATCTCTTTCACCTTTCATGTGAAAACTTCGAAGTAGAAGTAAGCATCAATTAATTAATTGTGGAAAGACATAATACCCTTGGTGAAAAGACATAAATTCAAGTGTCTCTATCGGTATTACTTTTTGTATAAAATAGTAGGATAATGTTTTATGCAGAAAAAATTTACAAGGAATTTTAACACAAAATTAACTTTAATCGTCCATTCTTACACCTTATCTTTTTAGGTTTATCCATTTAAGTATCATGTGATAGTTCAAATTCATCCACATTATTCTTTGTAAATTTTCTTTGCATGTATCAGCAGTCAGCACCCAAATTAATAGGATAATAATTGTTTCACAACATTTTACCTCGTCATGATTCTTTACCTAACAAGAATCTACAAAGAGCAAAACTATCAGCACTTGGTTGCCAAATAATTAATTAGTTACCTGTAAAAGATCCTTAGCCAGATCAATTGCAACAACACCAGCACTGCATCCCATACCACCAAGATTGTAGCTCATAATGTTCCCTCTAAGCTTGTAATGGTTAACAATCATGGCAGAAAGAGATGGAGTTGGACAAAACACGCTACAATTCACAACAAGGATCCCAATATCTTTACCATTTTTACCTGTCTTTGCCAACAGCTGATCAATTGCACCAAACATCACCATCTCAGCTTCCTTTCTAGCCTCAGCTATGGATGGATTTGGTGGAGTTTGCAAGAATGCGTTGCAAATGTACGTTTTTTGGCCGAACCCTAATCGCTCCAGAATCTTCTTCTGGAATGCTAGGGTTTCTTCATTGAACTTCCCGGTTAGGGTTGTTAGCTCCAAGTGAAGTTCTCTAGAGCACATATGTTCTGGCTTAGGTTTGTAACATGCAAAATCCACTAGGTATATCTTCCTAGGCCTAACCATCAGGTAAAATGTAGCGATGAAAATGGCAAGTGAGAAAAATGTCACAAAAGAAACTTGATTAATTAGGCTTAGCTGATGATCCCATAATTGCTCCATTTAGGCAATATTTAGAAATCACAACTTCTTCGACAAACTATGATGGACGAGAATTAATCAAAGACCAAAACAAAAAAAAAAAGAAAGAAAAAAAAGATGGAGAACTATGAAGTGGTTTTCTCTCCAAATATTAACAATGTGATGTATTTGCATGAGCATTGAGATCGCTGCGGGGCATGAGAATTTAAAGGGGGAGGGGCGGCTGTGATGTGAATTATGGAGTTGGTGATTGTTGGATATATTGTAAAATGGAGTTATCGTATTTGAATTAATTACATCGATCAAGTTGGTGTTTGTCGAATATCTTCATTCATTACACAAGTTTTCAATATAATGACAATATAGGTTTGTTAAAACGTTAACATAGAACATTTCTGAAACTAGTACAAAATCGAACATACTTTCACAATTCACAAGTTATTGAAGTCAATGGAGTATACACACATGCACAGAGAGGTTAATGGTGAAGGCCAGACAAGTTGGCTCAATTTGGTAAAGCATCAAGATAAATAACACGTCCATGTTTAACTAGGTAACAAAAGATAAATACTCTTTATTATGCTCCCTCTGTCCAAAAAAATAAATAAAAAATAGTCCACTACGAGTTTTAAGATTTTGTACAATTTTTAATATAAATATTAAAATTTGATGTGCGTTATTTTTTTGAGATGGAAGGAGTACATATTTTCATGCATTAAGGAACATAACAAGTTGTTTTATACATATATTTACTAGTCACACACTTCATCATACAACTATATCATTTTCCTGAACAAATTCACCGTACTGTCCTAGCTATTTTGTGAGAGATCAAAATGAACAAAACTCTCAATTTGACAAGTTGTTGACCAGGCCAATAAGGAGTAGAGAGCAAAAAAGAGAAAACCTCCAATTTAGGTTTCTCCATTTTGTCAAAAAGTATCAAGTGCCATAAAAAAAGAAGTCTTGGCCTTCAATGTGTATTAATTAAAAATCCAACAACGTAATAAACAAGTTTGTTCCAACCTCGATTGTCCTTTCTCCACCATCATTCTCACTCACAACCTATTAAAACGGATACAATCAACCAAGTAATATATTTCACTCACCGACACACGAAATTAATTAAGGAAAGTGAAACCATAGAATGCATTAAGAATATTTTCACTGTAAAGGTAATATTAGAAAAAATTGACAAAATATGATGAGAATGAAATCTATTAAATTTTCTTTTAACGGTATTTAATTGCGAATGGAGGGAGTATTTGTTGGTTCTGGGAACAAGGGTGGTAAAGCATTACCGGTTTGAACATGTAAATTAATGTAGCAGTCTAGTTCAAACAAAAGAGGCAGGCACGGAGTTTACTTGTTTATTTACAAGACAAAGTTACCATTGTTATTATTGTTATCTATATTATATTTTTCTTATATATATATATATATATGTAACCTCATCCGTAATAATAAAAGTAATTCTTCTTCTAAAATAATACTTCCTCTGATGTTAATTATAAGGTACAAATTTAAACTAATTTTAGTGTTAATTTGTGTTTAGTATTTAGGATCAGAAAAAGTATTTTACACAACCTATTTTAGTGTTAATTTTTTTTTTTTAAAAAAACTACTATTAAAGAAAACTTATTAACAATACACCCTACATGAAAAAGGAAGGGAAAAAAAAACCTCCTTGAATGCATTGAATTTATCACTCATTTTTTTGCTTCTTTTTTTTTCCCTTTCTTTTCCCTTTTGTAATAGAGGAGGCAAAATATCTAACAGAAATTAAATTAAAATGTTTTGCGACTAGGAGATATCAATAAGTCATGATCTAACCATGCACTCCTTTAATTATGCACTCGTAACCCGCATGATGGAGACCCAAAAGTATACTAAAACGAGGAAGGATAGAAAAGAAAATGCATAGGACTAAAATTGATAACATGAAGTTAAAAGGATCAAATATATAGTTATTTACAAATAGAAGGATGAGTTTAGTATTCAGCACCTCTTTTCCAGCAATTCCGCAATTGGGAATATATATAAGAGGGCCGCGTCTTTTCTGGAGTGTTCGGAAGAGCATTATTTGAGCACCTAACTACTGCTTAGGCTCCACGCTTATTCCTTCGCTGCGAAAAAAACGATGTCGTACCTGCTTCCTCACCTCCACTCCGGCTGGGCCGTCGATCAAGCCATCCTCGCCGAAGAAGAGCGGCTCGTAATCATCCGTTTCGGCCATGACTGGGATGAAACTTGCATGCAGGTATGTTTATCCCAAAACTCTTCGCTGTTTTTGTAATTATGTTTCTCCAAGAATCTTTGTCCTTAATTTTAGAAGCCCTAGGATGGAAATGAATCCTAGTATTTTCGTATTTTTGTTTTCCGTGCGAAGTTGAAGTTTTAGGGCTTGAATTGATCTCATTAGGGTTTAGGGAATTATGAACTTCAAATTTTATGCGAAATCGTTGTATATAAATCTTTGTTTTGTGATGAATTGTGCTCCTATTCTAATAATTTTCTGTGAGATCTTTGTCACAGTAGTTGTAGGCACCCTTTGCAGTTGGCATCAGATGTCATTATTGTTATTACAATGATTCTTATTAGATTGTCCATTGTTGACTTGCTCTTTAACTGTTTCAATGATTGTTGATTACCTAGCTCCTCTTTTTGTCTTTTGCGGTTCTGCGGTATGTAGCATCTGGCTTCATTCTAGTTATCCTGGTATCTAATGGACTTCTTGTTTTTGTAATGCCTGTTTTAGATGGATGAAGTGTTGGCATCAGTGGCTGAAACAATTAAGAACTTTGCGGTGATATACTTGGTGGATATTACTGAAGTTCCTGACTTCAATACAATGTACGAGCTGTATGACCCATCCACCGTAATGTTTTTCTTCAGAAACAAGCATATCATGATTGATCTTGGAACTGGAAACAACAACAAGATCAACTGGGCGATGAAGGATAAGCAAGAGTTTATCGACATTGTGGAGACTGTTTACCGTGGAGCAAGGAAAGGCCGTGGTCTGGTTATTGCTCCTAAGGATTACTCAACCAAGTATCGATATTAGATACCTTGTTATGTATTTCCTATGGTCGAACACATATGTGCTCCTATTTTATTCATGTAACACTGATTCTTGGCACAAATGTATCTGAATGGATTTTAATCCAACTGCTAAAAATTTGAAACTCAGTTATTAATTTTGATGTTACGTATCCAAGCAGTAACCTGTAATTTGGCCTCCATTGATTTCTGTTTTCTTTTCTTTCTCCCCAATGTTTAAATTTATCCTTGTCTTTTGAAGCAGTTTAATGTTCGTTTTTGTCATACATCTTTGGATTAGCGTAAGTAATCTTCCCAGCCTTTAACTTTGCAGTTGTTTCATTTAAAGAGTTTTAGCCTCTTTAGATGAGTAATTTCTCATGCAAAACTATATATCCTTGCTGTAGTAGGCATATAGCTTTGGTGTTTTAGTTTGCTTTATATTCTGTAGGATATGGACATAGTGAAATTATGCTATTCTGGCATCAGTCAGTTATTGCACTTCGGGCGGAATGCCTTTATGATTGATGAGGCAAATATAGTGTTGTTTCCTTGGTTGTTTCTTGGCAAAATGGTATATGGCCATATTATCTTGCTAGGTAGAGTTTCTATAGATGTATTTATTCTATCAAAGTTTTGATTTGTAGAAGTACATAAAAGCAGAAAGGTTAGTAGACCATTAGCCTTCTGCATCATGCTGTGAATATTAGCTAATGAAATAGCACTAAATAGATACATTCTATGTTTCTTTTTGCTTCACCTACATGGTAGCAACTTGTGATTCCTATTTTCTAGTATTTTGCAACCTACTTCGGATGGTCGCTACAAGTTCCATTATAGCCATACCAATCAGATACCATGTCACGCCTGCTAGGATAACCTGTAACCAGTTGCTATTGACAATATCCCGAAGCCGAGAACCACCTATATGCTCTTCCAATCCACCTGATGCACCTTCCCCTAACCTTGATCGAACTATAGTTGCTGCTACCACGCCAAACACTAATGGCACACTCCACAGGAACGATTGACCTTCACTGTTCTGTTTCGAATCTTTTGGATCCTTGTTTGGCAGCTTTTCTTTCTTCTTGGTGGAAGGAGATGCTGATGATGGCATTTCAGATTCCGATTCCATCATGCTTGTGGCAAATGCATGTTTGGATGGATCCCAGTATTCACCTTCAGTAAGGTAGTTGGATGAAACTGCAGGATAATGTCTCATAGTCTCTCTTGCTTGTTTCCTAGCCTCCGCAACATCCCTGATCTTTTCGATGTTGGGATCAGCAGAGTTCTTATCAGAAGGTGTTAAATTTTGAAAATGTTGTCCAGTAGTTCCGCCGGGAGGTGTTTGCCAGTATAACCAGTTTGTTACCGATCTGATTGCGTGAACAGCCGAGGCCTTAGCTTCCCAGTAGATATCCGATTCCTGAAATCCAAATGTTTAGTCGTACTAGTGAGTTCTAACACATGATTCCTCCGGTTGCCATGATAGGATACCCTTTATCATCTTTAGCTGTACACAATGTTAATTGTTGTGCAAGAGAAGAGAAGCACGTACCTTGGAGGAAGCTTTATTCAAGGCATATCTGGACTGGAACTTCTCCAAATCGTCGAAAATATTAGAGGTACGAGCACCAATTGTATTCCCAGCACCAATTCTGACTTTCCCTCTTGGTTTTTTAGACATTAGGAACTCCAGAGCTGCCAAATCCGACCTCTCCACCATCCTATCCATCGTTACAGTTTTCAAGTGTGAAAAAAGCTGAAAAGATGAGACTCAAAAAAGTGAAGCATAAACAGCGGTTCTTACGAGATGCAATCGACTGGGCAAGTTTCGATGGCTGCTTGAATTTTGTCTTCGGGATCTGCCCACTGCGCAACAACTCTTGCTCTTCCATAAATGGATTCCACGGCAAATGTTTTCTCGGCAAATAAGGCACACTTTAAGCAACCCACACACTTGACTTCATCAACAAACACAGCCCTCTTCTCACTTTCCGATCCCGACCAAACTGAATACATTGGCTTGCCCGTGAAGCCTCGAAAATCTGAAAACTTTGCATGTTCCTGCCCAAGTTCATCGTATGAGATCACGAAACAGGAATCCAAAAGTTCCATCAAACAAACTAACCTTATCATACGCCAAGCGGGAGGGTGGATCAGAAAGAACAGCATAAGCTTCGTTGAGTACAATTGCCATGTCATGCCCAGCTGGACCAGCAATATCAGGGTGGCATTTCTTCTGCAAAGCTCTATAAGCAAGTTTTATTTGTGCTTGATTACAATCATTGTCCACCCCGAAAAGATCATAGAGATCAAAGTCGGTGATTGAAGAAGGAGATTGGACAGAATTGCTATTAGTATCATCAGTAGCTTTGCATGCAATAGTGGGAAACTTGCCAAAGGATTTTGCTGGAGCTTTAAAATGGATAGTTATTGGCTTTCTTCGGACTGCAAATTGGGATTTCAATGAAGGGTTAGCAGTGTACAAGGATACATGAGTGGCAGAAGAAGCAGAGGAAGAAGAATGCATATTTTGTTTGGATATGAAGATGATAAAGTGATAAAAAGTGTCTCCAGTTCAGAGTTTATAGTATCCTGTTTCTGTGGTTGGGTGTAGATATTTATTTGTATGCCCATTTGGACATAAAGGGCTTAGATATTTACGTGAGGAATGGTCCATCCCAAAAACCAACCGAGTTCGAAAATTACACGTGTTCATCATCGTATAGCAATACTCTTGGAACACTCAAGATCAAGGCAACAAAGCTTCATATGCTCCTCGTATTCTTTGCTCATCAGATAACCTTGGGGAACGACACAAACACTTAGTCGCCAATTTGACCCGTCATACCATAAGGTTGTAGCTTGTGATATGCGGATAGCAATACTAAAAAGTAAAAACAACGGAAATTCATAACGAGGTTTGATAAGGTAGAGAAGAGCAGAAATATGATCTGATAAAATACCATTAAAGGTCATATCACGGTTATGAAGCAATGATGGCTCATCCTGCCATAGCCAACTAAATTGTAAGTTTTCGTTATTGTATCCCAAACACGCTTCAGTAGGTACGATTTTTGCCTTCCGCAACAAAATAAACTTAGAAAAAAACCTAGCAATGACAGATAAATTTTATGGATTCTTAACAAAAAGAGATTTTTCCAGGGTTCTTTTTAATGCCTTGGAAACTCAATCCAGTGGCAAAATTTTGTATCCTTTTACCAACAAATCTGCCTTGTTTCAGGATCTAATGCGAGATATCCTAAACTCAGCACTTCCACCAAACGGGTTTCTTAATACACTCATTTGCTGCCTTCAAGAAGACCTCTTTGCTTGAATACTTCATACATTGCTGTTCCAATCTTTGCTGGAGATTCTACTACAGTAACTCCAGCTTCCTTGAGGGTCCTGATTTTGTCCTGTGCCGTACCCTTACCCCCTGATACAATGGCTGCATAACAAAATGGATAATAGCTTAAGGCAACAAATCTAAGATCACATAAAAGTAGTATTAAATACATCAAAGTCTCAAGTGATAAAAAGCCCTACTCCATCTCACGCACATTATTCTATTCCCCCATCTTACAGTGTCAATCCCACGCACCCCGTCCTTAAATAACAAACTTACTGTTTACTAATCCAATTTTAACGAAAATAATATTGCCAAAACAAGGGCAATCAGCCACAATTTGGTTTCTCATGAATTCTTTTATGTAATCACCTACAGCCAAAAGCGTGTCAAACTAGCTACACGATACCAACATTGAAAATTAACATTTTGAAAAATAAAGCACATAGCCAACAAAATTAAACACTCCACAAGCCACGGCATAAAGTAAATTGAGCTAATTACAATATAAATAACTCGCTCTAGGAACCAAAAATTAAACAAATACCTCCAGCATGACCCATTCGCCGACCAGGTGGAGCAGTGAGCCCAGCAATAAAAGCAACGACAGGCTTCTCAGTCCCACTTTCCTGTTCAAATGAAATGTCAATTAAATTTATATCCTAGCTGAATCTTGAATAAAACAAAAAAAGCGGAATCAGAAGCCAAACCACACCAGAGAATTATCTCACATACACAATCTAGAAATGCTAGGAAGATTATCAAGAACTTACTAAGATGGAGAGCACAAAATTGCCAACCAGACAGCCAGCTAACTCTATTAACCCCATCAAAAGAATTTAAAACAAGAAAAACTAAAATACTTGAACAAGGGTTTGCTGTCAAACTAAATGAATGCAGTGTAAATCAGAGACCAGAGCGCCCAAATACAAAAACCTTATCAAGCATGCATTTACACCATTGATGACCCGAATGGATTATGCAATTATAACCAAAGAAACTCTTGCGGAAATCAGGAAATACAATTATATAATCATTCAAGCAATTCGAGCGAAACAAATAAAGGCAACATTCCATGAATCAAAGACTCAAAATCTCCATGCCAAAGTAGAGATGAAGTTTCAAATTCAATTCACCTTTATGAAGGCCGCTGCATCCTCTTCTGCTGTACCGCCAATTTCTCCAATGAGAACAATACCTAAGATATATGATGCACTGATTACTATGTCCAAAGTACGTACTTTGACTCTGTAGTGAAGAATAATAAGGTAAACTGAGAAACTTTGCAAGACAGTAACAGTGTTTTCAACAAGCCAAAAGACTCAAAATATTGCCTCTATCCTGATAGACTGTAGGCCACATGTGTGTGTGACACATTTCTCTCTTTTAAACCAACCAGAGAGCCATTAGGCAAAGACAACAGAAAATAAACTATTTTAAAAGGTGCTACCATCAATGTCGCTCCTCTTAAATCTGACTAATGCATGGCAAGTAATATAAGGATACTGGCCAAAAACTTTGCAAATACAGAATCATTTAGATGGAAACAAAAGATGTGTACAATACTGAAGAGATATTAGTTCAACAGTTTTATAGCCTATCCCCAGCTTCAACTAGCATTCATGTGATTGGATGATAATAAGAAACAGAACATGTCCCTCTATGCACCTAAAACTTTTAAACAGTCAGCAGACATCAAACTTTACCTTCTGTCTGAGGATCAGTAACAAATTTCTCCAAGCAATCAACAAAGTTGGTGCCATTGAAAGGATCACCACCAATTCCAACACAGGTAGACTGCCCAAGGCCAACAGCCGTTGTTTGGAAAACCTAATATTCAAAGTGTAGAAGTTAATAAATGTTTGGCTTCAAAGGATTCTACCAGCGAATGCAAATGTACGTGCAATGATAGCAAATGTCATTTACTTAAAGAGCAAAATAAAAAGCTCCCCAGCAAAGAAAACTCACTGCTTCATAAGTCAGAGTTCCAGATCTGGAGACAATCCCAATACGTCCAGGTTTGTGAATGTATCCTGGCATGATACCAATCTTGCATTCTCCTGGCTTAATAATGCCGGGACAATTTGGTCCAATAAGCCTAGTTTTCGATTGCTTCTTAAGAGCAGCTTTTACCTTGACCTGCAGTTCGCAAGAAACCCTAAGATTAAATAAGGAAATCAACAGCTGGATAACACAGGTTAACCAAAGTCACAATCCATCCTCAGTAAGCACTAAAAAGAACAAAAAGCTAATAATAGTTTTTATGCCAGTCTGGGGGTATGATCAAGTCCTGGAACTATACAATAAATTTTCTGTGTGTGCGCGTGTGCGAGTGTACGGCAATCCAAATGATTCCTTTCAGCTTTGCACCAACAAAAATCTCATGTGGTCATTGTTTTGCAATAAACCCTAAGATTTTATATATTGTCATCTTCTAGCAGTTGATGACCAACAAAATCTCCCAATACAAATGTTTGATTTAAAACACAATAGGCGCAGTTCAGACACGTAACCACACAACTATTTTGATACTTTTAGCTACTCTAGAAAAAGAAGCAAACTTTAAGATATTCTACAGACAACTATGATAGCATCTATATAACTACGAATGAAGTCAGGATCACACTCAAACTCCTCAAAGGTGAAAACACTTTCAAAAGAACAACAAATACTTTAAAGGTTACCATGTCATGTTGAGGAATTCCTTCAGTGATGCAAACAACCAAATCTAATTCAGCCTCCATAGCCTCCATGATGGCTGCTGCAGCAAACGGAGGTGGAACGTAAATCACTGATGCATTAGCCTTGGTTTCAGCTTTGGCTTCTGCAACAGAATTAAAAACTGGCAGTCCCAAGTGTTCTGTTCCACCCTTTTTTGGGGTAACCCCTCCAACCTAATCAACCACACAAAAGATGAATCAAAAGAGCAGCACAAAAGCTACAAAGTGTTTTTTCCATTGGCGAGATAAAGCAACAGCATTCAACAATTGTAGAAATCAAGCTATCAGCCCACAACAAATAATCCATTTTTCTCGGTATACAAGGTCGACTATGTGAACAGTATGTTGGCAGACTATTGCTGCACGTATTTTATGATGGAAACATCCATTTGAAAAAAAATAAAAAATTACAATGATCACACTGAAACTAGTTTTAGTTCAAGATAGTAGCTGCAATACATTTCCTTTCCCTACATGTAGCACTGCCTCAGTTCCTCATCTGATCTAAGTGGATACCTCCGAAATACAGCAAACAAAGGCCTCCAAGGTTGCATTCTAAGATAATTGAGAAAGTCCAGCATCCGCAGCTCACCATAAATCCAACTAACATATCAATACAACTGAGCCTTTACCCCACTATGTAGACATAGCTTCAATTATCAAGTTGAATGCATATATTCCATCATTAATAAGAGGGCTTCTGTTTCCTCGTTCAATCAATATATAAAAAAAGTAAATCGACCCATGAATTATCATCTCCGAACTTCCAACCCAACCAAAAGGAAAAGTGATAAATAATAGTATCTTTAAAAAAAAAAAACGTCATGGGAAATGTACACTAAAGGAACACAAAACACAGAACGACAAAAAAAAAATTACAACTTGCAGCCCGATTCAAAAAAAGGGGGGGAAATCACGGATCGAACGATAAACCAAAAGTACAAGAATTGAAAATGAGTGAAATTCACCATTTTGGTGCCGTATTCGATGGCCTGTTCAGTGTGAAAGGAGCCGTTTTTGCCGGTGATTCCCTGGCAGATGACGCGAGTGTTTTTGTCAACGAAGACCGCCGGAGGTGGCGGCGGGGTGCCGAAGTGGCGGATTTGGTGTAAATTGGCATTAGGGTTTTGGTGAAGCAGCTTCGATGCCAAGTTTCCCAGCAGTGATCTCGTAGCTTGACGAGCCATCGCCAACGATACTGCGTGTTTTTGGAGGTGTTTTAATGTGTGTGTTCTTTTCTCAGACCCTTCTTCCGCTGTCGACTACTCAACCCAGGGAAATACAGGGAAAAAGAAAATAGATTATGATTTAAATAATCAATTATTTGAAAGAACTTGCCTCTGAAAAATATTAAAAAAAAATTATAACAGGGTTTAATTTATATTTTCTTCAGTAGGTTTGCTATGTTTTTGTCATTTTTTGGTATATTTTTCTTTTTACAAATTTTTATTAACTTATTCTTCGTAACTTTTTACATTTATAGTACACCTTTCTTAACACAGAATGGAAAAACAATCGGAATGAAAAATTTTTATCAAGTTTTTCCTATTTTTTGTCCCAAAACTTTACTCATATTTTTCAATTTCATCTTTACCCGGCGTCACAATCGAGCAGAATAACCAGACTAGTCTAAAACTAATCACTTTGTTCAAAGAACTACTTTAATGAACCAAAAAATGCCCAATCGCAAAGAAAATTTGAGTGAATTTTCACAATTACGTGTAATCAGAAACAATAATTTACATCAAAATTTTCATCACATTAAAAGGGATTTTGTAGTCTGGGGCCTGTTTGTAAAAATTATTGTTTAATTCTGAATACTTAATATTGAATTAGAAATATTGAATTTATTAAGCAGTTACAGAATAAACAATAAGCTAACTTTTATTACTTATATTTTGTATTTCAGTTTCAGCACCACTCATTTCATTAAGAGGTTCATTTTTTGTTATCAAATATAGTAAATTAAAAAAGTGCTTAGTCCAATAAATTTAAGCATTAAGTAACTTTATCAAACAAACCCTAATTCATAATCTTTACTCTCCCTCCAAAAGTCCAAACCAAGGATCTAACAGAAATTTCCTCATAAGAAAACATAAGTTCACATTTCAACCAACCAAAATGTCAATACAAACCAACCAACCGCACTCTTTGTTTTCACTTTTAACCTTAAACTTAACTTATTTGCTTAATTGCACATTTAAATATTTAATCACTTCCTTCTATTTCAAACCATCCCTTTCTTCCACGTCTCCTTTTACTTCCATTCCCTGCATTTCACGCTTTCACATATACCTTTAAGGTCAAATTACATCCACCATCCCGGTCTTGTCAAATCTAACAATCAAGCCTCGTGCTTTAACAAAATGTCAATTCTTACCCTATCATCAGGACCAAAAAGAGCGCTATATTATATCGTCGCGGACACTCATGAAGTGATCATTATTAAAATAATTAATCAGTAATTACATGTTAGAAAGTTATATAATTATTATGTCAATTAAGTGCTTCAATCAATTATTTAAACTATTAATAGAAAGTGTGATCTAATTAATTCAAGTATTCGACCATAAGGAAAGTAGTAAACCATTCAATTGAGATATATTACATGGTGCTTACAATGTTGACTTTAAGGAGAGGCAACTAAAGTTAGGGTTTTAGGCCTTATATTATTTAGGTGTCATTTTTCAGGATTTTATTTACCATAATTTATTTTCTAGAATTATTTTGCAATAATTATTGAAAAGATAATAAAAAAACTACACGACGATAATATAAGCATGTTACATTTTAGTTATCTCATAAAATTATTTGTATCGAAATTTTAAAGTATTTTAACGAAAATTTTATTTATCTAAGTCCGACATTTGGGGGCCTCAAATTAAAATTTTGCTTGAGGCCTCAACATGCGTTGAGCATTTTAATTAAAATTTTTATTTATTTGATGAGGGTAATAGGATAAAAGTTTGGAAGGGCAAGTGTTGAGAAGCTATTACTTATTAGTTTTTAGTATTCGCTGGCATATAGAGGGTTCGATTAGTACAGTTTTACAAACTGTGGGGAGGTGCATGCAATTTTCACACCATTTAAATCTCTTTCCCGACGACATTGACACTGCCTTCATAAACGAATCCCTCAATTCTGTGAATTCCTCCTTCTGCTTCGTCTTTTTCTCGAATTCTTTTTCTTTTTTGATTTTTTTCCCAAAAAGAATGGAAAACGGTAAAGCCGACAACAACAACCCTGCAAACCAGGGAGAAAACCCTACCAATAATACTGTGATTAATGATATCAGTACTAATGCTAATAATAACGATGAAGGGCGGGCCGCCGGCGGCGGTTCACGGCGGCGGACTCCGTTCACCACCCTTAGTCAGGAGGAAGCTGATCTTGCCCTCGCTCGGACCCTTCAAGAACAGGTATTTTGAAGAATTTTTTGTTGTTTGATTGTGTGATTCTTTTCTGTACCATATGATTTTGAGTTCGTGTTCTCTGTATTTGGATGGATGGAGCTTGGGTCAGTAAAACTTAGGTTTTGGTATTTCATGGGCTCAAAAGTAAAAGTTTTTCTATCAACTGTCGGAATTGTATGTCGATATATACGGTAAACGTGAAACGTAGTAAATCTTTTTTGTTTTCCATTTGATTGTTCTTCGTATAATTCTTTTTTTTGTTTTTTTGTTTTTGGGTTTCCATCATAGTAGATGTTTTTGGTTGTGCCTATCATCTCGAGTCTTTCAACTAGTTGCTGTTTAGGTGCTTTATTTGGTTTATATACAGAGTTTGGCACCTTTTTTCATCCTGCCCATATCTTTTGTGATTTTTTAATGATGTTAGTGGTGCACTGCTTCAGGAGAGAGCTTATATGATGTTAAGAATGAATGTTGGAGATGGAAGTGATTATGGAAGCTGGGAAACCGGGAGTTATGGACATGGGGATGAGGACGATGATGATTTTGATGATCATAGTGAAGAAGAGCTCGAAGGTAGCGAGCTAGAGGAGGATGACAACGAAGAAGAGGAAGATGCATTTGATGTCAATGCGCGTGCGGAAGAAGATGCAGATGATAACCAGAATGTTGAAATTGACCCATCTGCTTACTCAAGTGATGAAGCCTATGCTCGAGCACTACAAGAAGCAGAGGAAAGGGAGATGGCTGCTAGATTGCTAGCAATGGCTGGGATTAGTGAAAGTAAGTATCTTGGTATAGTTTGATCTTGCCAGATCATTCTTTTATGTTTGTCTTTGTGTGTTTGTGTGTGCTTGTGCAATCCTTCTGTGGGTATTTGAGAGATTAATGCTGCTCTCCTTAATTTTAGTGGTGGTGGGTGATGAGGATGACGACGATGAGGAAGATCCTGAAGAAGACCTCGGTGGTGATTCTCAGGTTGGAGAAACTCTTCGTGTATGTTTCCTAATGTTCATGGTTTTAGGAATGGACTTATTTGAATGTTGATGGCTTATAAAAGTGACCAAGAGATTATAATTTCTTATCGTCTATCCTTGTTATCTTTGGCTATTACTTGTTTCTTTTGTTGCATACATGATTGATGATGCTTAATGAAAATACTTCGAAATGGAGGCTTGACTTTATAAATAAGATGTGGAAAAAGTAAATGGAACTGGGTTTGGCAGATCAACATGAGGTAGTTTGTGTCTTGCATATAGATAACTCAATTTCACAGTGGTGATGTCACAAGTATTTGCCATAAATTTGCATAAATGACATAGTTAACTGCCTTCCATCTAGTCCGTATTTTGTAATCTGCTTTTCTTGTCTTAATTTTTATTTTTTTTTGTGTGTGTGTACTTATGAATTGCTACCTTAGTCCTTGCTTTAAAAAAATAAATAGATTATTGAATCGATTTACCTTGTTTTGGGAGTCAGTTCACTCCAGGGATCTCTAATGACCTCCAGTCCAAAATAAACTTCTTGTGAAAGTGATAGCAATCCTTGTGGTAGGCTAGTATAATATGCGCTGGATAACCTCTTGGTTTTGTTTCTTCTTACTCTCTAGCACTCCACTAGAGGTGTTGGTATCACTTGAGTTTTGTTCTGCAGTAAAACCTGAAAATGTGGTATTTAAGTGGCACTATGGGTTTACCATGCTGTTCTGTTAGATACTTGAAATCCATGTCAAGGCTGGTTATCATTTCATCCATCTGTACGTGCTTCTGAACCCAAACATGAAGAGGTTTTGATTTGCTTGACTGTATTGAAACCGTGCACCTAGGAAAGTTGCAATTATATATTTTTGTTAAAAAATTAAACCATGCTTCAGGGGTGGCTTATGTGATGTCTCTTTAACTTCTTTTGTGGACGTCATTGATAAATAGCTTTTTGTATGTCTCAGGATGCATGGGAAGAGGTTGATCCTGATGAGCTATCGTATGAGGTAAATTAATTTATCTTTAATTCTGTGTAGTTTATACAACTATGTGCTCTGTTATCTGGGAATGTTGATGTAACCTAACTTTATTTTATGATGGAATATCTTAATTAGGAGCTGATTGCATTAGGTGAGGTCGTCGGAACAGAGAGCAGGGGTCTTTCTGCTGATACTATTGCCTCCTTGCCATCAGTTAATTATAAGGCCCAGCCCGGGCAAGATGGAATCTGTGATTCGTAAGTATAGCATGGCCTTATATTACTTATAGCCGTTAATTGATTCTTGTAATGACAAATAGAATCCCCCATATTCTGGTCAAATTTGCAATGCCATTCTCTTCTATTTGCCAGCGGTGATGTCCTTTAAATGGCTATTTGGCTAGAAAGCATCTCTCACTACTGTTTCTTTTTAGTTGGATAGATGGTACTCCCTCCATTCTAAATTAAGTGTCATTAGACAAATTAGGCCGTATAAGGAACCCGTAAGTATGGTACCTAAATTACTAAATTATCCTTAACCTAACCTGATAAAAAAACAAACGTCGTTAATGCTATTTCTATTTGGGAGTAATTTTGGAAATTTGTGTGTAAAGATTCATTGGTAACGAAAACACTTATTTTGGATTTTTACAATTTCCCTCCATCAACCCTTAAATCAGAATGGAGGGAGTAATTGGTATCGGAAGTTAGGGCCAGGAGATTGAATATTTTACTGAAATATTTGTGACTATGTACGGCAGATAAAAGGAGCAAATTAAGAGTAATTTGTATTATGACTAAGAGAAAATCCGAGAAAATAATAAGTCAGAAGTGAGAGGTTTTTGGATGGATGATGGAATAACTTTTTCTTTTGGTTATTACTTGAACATCAAAATTTCTGTTGTTGCAGGTGTGTAATTTGTAGATTGGACTATGATGAAGGTGATGCATTGACAGTGCTTTCGTGCAAACATAACTACCATTCAGAGTGTCTAAACAATTGGTTGCGGATAAACAAGGTATGTGCTGTATCTAATTGCTCGTTACTGAGCATTCTACCCCGAACTGGTTATGTGGGTGGCTTAATATTTGGAATTGAGAATTCCTTCCCCCCGGGCCCTTCTATTAAGCAAACTTCTGTGTGTTGCTCAGTTTCAACTTCCTTTCCATTAAGCAATTATTGGCTTTGATACAGAATTGAAAAGAAGCCTCTTTTACACAGGGCCATGCTGAAGCATCTCATGTTTATATGGCATTTCTCATTGTTTAATCTTGGGGTTGCCACTTTTATGTCCTTTTGCATTAACAACCCCCCCTTCTTTCAGTTTCCTGAGCAAACTCACAACTTCTCTCTTGAGTCTGTTTTGATGGTAAATCTGATTTGTTCAATGTCTGTTTCTATGCAGATCTGCCCAGTCTGCAGCGCCGAAGTCTCTACTTCTGGAAGCAGTTAGCTAGAAATTAGTAAAGCACATTTCTGATGGAAGATTAAAGTTATGAACTGCTGGCACTTAAGAAACATAGATGCAAGCTTGAAGTTCAATGAGTCCTCAAAGCTTGCTTTTATATCCATTCCTAAAACATATGCACCTTGATGGTGGGAAATATGTTGTATCTGCTGTTGTATCCATTTATATCTGCTAATATATTAGTCATTTTCATTTCGATGTAGTACCTTTTATTATTTCTTTCAATATACCCCTTTTGACATTTATTTACATCAAGTTTTCTCCAACTACATTTCCTTACTCTTCGTTCGGGCCTCATTTATAATGGATTCTATAATCCCAAAGATAACTAATATGGATTATGCATCACATCAATATGGATAACCAATAGGTTTCAGGAAAATTCAACTACAAATGGACAGTTCCAAACGACGTCAGGAGCTTAAAGGACGAAGATGATCCCCCCCTAGTCTTCAGCAACCTCCTGCCGAGAATCAGATGCCTTCTCAACCAGCAATGGCTTGTAGGTATTTTGCACATAAAACCGGAGGGAAACGAGGTAGTGGATTCCTTAGCGAAACTAGGACTATCTTGTAATCTGGGTGTGCATATTTTATCAACTCTCCCAGATATAGTATTAGCAAAATTATCTTTTGACTGTCCTCCACCTCGAAGCGGCATGTTGTAGATCTTAAGCATATGCTTCCCTAGTATATATATATATATATATATATATATATATATATATATATATATATATATATATATATGCATTTACACTATGTTAAGGAATCCATTCATTTGGAACCATCAGCCAAGAATTCTCCGGAGCTTGCATTGATTCCACTTGCATCATTCTAGTGACCTGCAGAAGCGTCAGCTTTTCCTGTGAATCTTAGTATTTGCCACATTGAGAAAATTTTATTGCTCGGTTACCAGAAACTATAACCGTTTAGTATAGTGTATTCCACTCGTCAAAGGTGTCATTGGTCTTTGACTCTAGACTCAATAAACCTGCTTGACCCCATCCTTTTTGTACCCGTTTCAAAGTTTTCAGTGCAGTTGCACTTCCATCGTCTCTGCAAAAATTTTGCAGAAATTCAAGTATAAATAAAGACTACCGAAGCAAACTCGCAACAACTGGATGTAAAAGCAGACACGAACAACTTGATGATACAAAAACACCATGTGACTAGTGTATATAACATATAGAAGAGATCTGCCAGATTTGCATATAGGATGTTGAAGCAACAAAACCCTGTATAGTCCCAAATTACACAGGATATAAACAACTTTTGCGCATATACAACAGCAGGGTAAAAAAAAGAAACACTTCCTGAGAGTAACCATACCTTTGCAAAATTGCATTCCATTCACTTGCAGCATATTGTCGATGTTTTCCATGAGCCAACTGCCTGCCAACCCGATTAAGATATACCTTGTCAACCACCATGGGTTCCGCAGCCATACTCAGCATCCTCTCTGCTAGTTCATCAGACTCATGCTTCCTTCCGCACTTCTTTAAGGCGTCAATTACGGGCATAAATGATGCAGGGTCAAACCCGTATCCTTTATTTACCAGCTCATTTAGAATATCAAGAGCTTCTTCCAATCTATCATCTTTACACAATTTGTCTATCAAATCTTTACATAGGAAGTTCTTTAGAGCATAACATCTGTCCATTGCAGCTTTGAACAGTTTTGTTGCTTCCAATATTTCCCCTCCAGCCAGCATCTCATTAAACATCACAGCATAAAGAGCTTCTTGTTGACCACAGAGACGGAGGGCGATATCAAATACATCCATGGCGGGTGTAAATTCACCAACCCTGCAAAATGCTTTAATCAACATTGTAAATGAATTGACATTAGGGTTTACTTCGTTCCGTAACATTTCCTCCAACAGAGAAGTAGCTTCTTCAGTTCTTCCAGCTTCACACAGAGAGCTCATTATAGTATTGTAACAAAAAACACTGGGATCAATGCCATTTTCTTTCATCTCATTAATGAGTCCAAACATTTCAAAGATTTGATTTTTACTTTTCAAGCCTAAAATCAAAGAGTTATATGTTTCTAAAGTCTTATTGCAACCTCTTTTCTCCATATCTTTCAAAACCTGAAATGCCATCGAAACCTTGCCCCTTTTACACAAGTTGTGGAGAATAGTATTGTACACAACTGCATCAGGAAACGAGATTCTTTTCATCATCTCAATGAACTTCTTCTTTGCTTCATCTAGTTTTCCTTCACTGCACAACCCCTTAATAATAGTTGAATACGTGAACAAGTCAGGCAAGCATTTCTTTCCATTATTCCCTCCATCAACTAATCCAATGAATGAATTCCCAAGGCTACCAAAAGCAGCACTTCCATGACTCCACATTTCGTCCACAATTTCAATTGCTTTGTCTACATTCCCACTTCTGCATAAACCATCAATAACAATATTACAGCTCACAATATCCATCTCATGACCTCCTTCATTCATCTTCTGCAGGAGCTTCTCTGCTTCTGATGCTTTCCCTTGTTTCCATAGACTGTGCAGCAAAATATTCCACGTGTAATTATTCGGAGTGCAGCCTCTCTTTATCATCTCGTGTAACACATTATTTGCCTCGGTTACCTTGCCCTCAGAGCAGTACCCATGGAGAAGAGTACTGTAAGTGACTGTGTCTGGAGAGATTCCACTTCTTGTCATTAAACCCATCAACATCCTGGCATCGGCAAGCATACCATTCTTGCACAGGCCATCCATAAGAATATTATACGAGTATGTATTTGGTTCCAAATTCTGATCAATCATATCCTTAATAACTAACTGAGCATCAAATATCTTCCCATTCTTCACCAAACCATGTAACCATATGTTATAGGTCTCTACATTTGGTAAGATATCACTTCCCTTCATTGATTCAATCAGTATCTTCGCATCTTCCAGCATTCCTTCCTTGCAGAACCCATCCAACATCAAGTTAACTGTTATTAAATTAGGCCTGGGCAACTCCTTTTCCTCATCCATTTGCATGTCCCTGAAAATCCTGGATGCCTCCAGAATTTTACCAGCCTTACAAAGAGCTGATATCCGAGAATTGAACGTAACGATATTGGGAGAAAGACCGTCTTCCCTCATCCGCTCGACCAATTTCTCAGCCTCCTCGTTATTTCCCTCTTTACAGAAACTCGAAATCAACGTATTATAGATAACCAAGTTCGGAGGAACACCCATTTCCCTCATCAAATCCAAAAGCTCCAAACCTTTATCAGAAAGCCCAACTTTACAATATCCACGGATCAAAATGCCAAAGCTGAACACATTAGGTTCACATCCTTTCTCGGGCATTTTATCAAACAGTTTCCTAGCATCATCTAACCTACCCAACCGACATAACCCGCCAATCAAAAGATTAAAAGTATAGGTATCCGGAGACACCCCAGAAACTATCATATCTTGGAACAACCAAGAAAGGAAATTCTCACTCTTTTCTCCTTCCAATGAAGACTTGATCAGGAAATTGTAAAACGAAGTCAGGGGAGGATGATTTAGGAAACGGGTTCTGAGAAACTGAAACTGGGAAACAGCCTTTTCGACGTGACCCGATTCGGCTAAGAGCTTGACGATTGTGTACAAGGATTGGTGTCGGGATTCGTCGAGGGGTTGATTGACGAGAAAATGGTGCAGGGAATCGATTTCCGGTAACATGTTGGAGCGGAGGAGAATGTGAGTTATGGTGGGAAGCGCTGGGAAGAAGATGTTGGGATCGGAAGGAGAAATGCGTTGGAAGAGTTGCCATGCGAGTTTTGGATTGGTGGAGTTGTTGAGTAGAGCTCTGATGAGTGTTTTTGCTTGCGACATTTCTCATTGTTGAAAGGCCCTCTTCCCCGTCAAATTTTGGCGGGGCGGCACAAAATAGCTTTACAAAGAGTAAATCGAACAATTAGTCCATTTTGTTACTCACAAAGTCACACGTACCAATTGTAGAATGATAATACTCCCTCCTTCTCATATTTATTGTCCAGTTTTAACTTTCATTTCTAGTTTAAATTGTATTAAAAGTGAAATCTCAAACGAACAGTAATTTTGGGACAGAAAAAGTACTATTTTATAATATTTGTGAGAGGTTAATCCTTTATTATTATTAAAAAAAAAACTATTTAGCAAATTTCCATCGTTTTGGACTAGCCTGTAGCCATACCCTTCAACATTTTTCTAGTTGTATTAGCAGTAATCGATTTGAGCATTATCACTTGAAAGAAAAAACTAGGGACGGATTTAGTGAGGGACTTGGGTAGGCCCTAGCCCCTCGAAAAGAAAAAATTGTCACTACGAGTTAAAATATTTTTCACCTTTTAAACAAAGCCCCTCCAATAATTTTTTTTAATGTATAGAAATTTTGTTTGCTTACAACTCTTGACTAGTTGACTAAGTTTAAGTGGCCCACATTCATTCTAATTCCTCAATTCTAGTATTACGTTTCTATTTAAAAAATGAAAAGATTTTTTTCTTTTATCGAACAAAAATGAAAAGATTTTATATGTTCTGAACTAGAAAGTCGACAAAAAAAACTAAGAAAAAAACAAAACCCTCAGCCGCCTCCTCCTCAGAGGCTCAAAACATTTTTCAATATCAAGAATCACGGATTCATGATTTGCAATATTGAAAAAGAAATTTTTCAAAGCATCGAGATGAAGTTATCTTGCAAAGGTTTCGTAAAATAGCACCTCAGCGATTATGTTTACCGCTTATCAATTAGTGTTGCACTTTTTTAGTGATTTAGTTAGAAAAATACATTAATCGTACTACTTATGTCATATAAACCTTTTTTCAAAGGTTCATTTCTAATTTGTTTTTTTTTCCTCCTTACCACGTAATGGAGCCCCTGCAAAACTTAAAACATCGTTCTGTCCCTGAAAAAAAGTATGTATAAATTTCATAAATTACTAGAAAATAAAAAGTCGTACATATTCATAAAATTATTTTCTCATATATTTGCACATTTGTTGGGTGTCGACTGTCAACAACATTGAGTGACGGAGTAGTAGGCACCTCAACCGCTTGGAGGCTTAATGTTTCGAGGAGTCTAAAGCGAAATTTCTGGCTGGGACCTTTTAAAAATAAAGAACTTAAAAAAAATAATTCTCTTTGTTTATTTACATTTAAGAGACAGCTTGCTATAAAGCAAGAAACTATAATAAGTAGTTTTTTTTTTTTTTAAAAAAAAAGGATTAAGTTTATCTTTTAAACTTCGTTTCTCCAAAATTTTTATACTGAGTTAGTTTTCTTCCCTTTTTCAAATTCTTTGATTAAACTTTTATAATCTAATTCTTTAATAACTTTCATACTTTCCATTTATACATGTAAATAATATTATCGTTTGAATGGTACATATATAGTAAATGAGAAGTGAACGAAAATCTAACAAAGTTAAAGGAAATTGTCTTTTAACTTGCGACATTTCTCATTGCTAAAATTGTCTCACTTGTTTTATGAAAAAGCTACCCCTACTCGATCAATTGAACGATTGGGTAACAGAGTTAAAGTTATTCCATTGTCACAGTAAAGTTCGAACCCTCTACTTCGTAGTAAGGTAGAAGAGTTTTCTCTATTCTAACACAAACCATTTTGCTGAAAGTCATTATCTTCGTGCAAACATAACTATCCCCCCACCATTATTCTTGGGACCTAAAAACTCCAATTAATTAAACTAAAAATGTAAAATAAAGTTGATTGTTGAAGAGCTAGCGACAGGAAAAGGGAGCAGCAACTATTACCACGGGATAATTTCAAAGTAAATATTTGGGAATGAGTCTTAATTTCAGGAAAAGAAGACAACCATATTCCAGGAATTCACTGCAAAAATCAGCAACAAATTTGCTTCTTTAGAAGACAAAGCTGCTATCATTACCTGGTCGAGTCACCTTGGCTAAATTCACCTTGTCCTCAATGTTAGTGTACCCAATGGGAAATATTCAAGCTTCCTGTTCACACCTTACATAAGGCTTACTAGATTATGGGTAATTTCATTTAGAAGGGAGACAACCAGGAATATAAAATTCATTGGAAAGCATGGAAGAAAATTACAAAATCTCCTTTCCTTGGTGGTTTGGGTCTCAAAGCTACAAAAGAATTCAACCAAGCACTTATAGCCAAACATGTATGGAAGATAATCTCTCATCCCCACTCTCTCATGGCTAGACTTCTCCGTGCCAAATATTGCAATAATGGCACCTTTCATCCGGTACAACCTCCCAAAACTTCCTCATGGGGTTTCAAGAGTATCATGTGGGGAGCTGAACTTCTGCATAATCATACTAAATGGAAGGTTATCTCAGGCATGGACATTCCTCTATCAGCAAACTGAATTCCTGATACTCAGGATCCGATTGGGGCTCATTCCATTTCAGCTATGTCCAACTTGACTGTGGACGTTTATTAATCCAAATGGTCAATAGAAGACTCGGGCTCTTAGGAATTTCTTTCCAGATCATATTAGCTCCCGCGTTACTAGGATCTTTATAGATCTGGCAAGACTACGTCAAAGGACAAGCTCCATTAGACACTTACTGATCATGAGAATTATACAGTCAAATCAGGGTATCAATTGGCCATCAATGCTCTCCTGCCACAACCCGTACCAAGTCCAACAATTCAGAATGCAGAGAAATTAGTTTGGAAACGACTATGGAATTCAGAGTTTAACCTAAGTACAAGTTCCTCTTCTAGAGATCATTACTCAACGCTCTTTCTACTCGGTCAGAACTATGCAAAGGGGAGTTCAAGTGGACTCATTATGCCCCAGATGTGGTAGGCAGGAGGAGGATAGCTTACACTTATTCTTTATGTGTGAAGCCTCTCAGGCCATATGGGCCTTGGCTTTTCCTCAATTTGGCTCAATGTTCAACTCTACATATGACTCCTTGCATCAATGGTTCATTCAGTGGACTGAGTCTCATCTAATCAAAGAGGAGGTTGATTTATTTTTGATCATCATATGGAGGATTTGTCTGGAAAAGAATGATAAAATTTGGAGAAACCAATCTCATGATCCGGCGGAATCTTGGAGACTTATCCAAAATGAAGTCACTCTTCACAAGTTAAGCCTTGGTAGACTGGTAGTTGGAAGACCTTCTCCCAACACACAATCATCGCTACCACAGAGGGGTCCGACTGATTCCTTAGTCATTTTTGATAGATCGTTTAGCCATCAAACACGCAAAGCGGCTGGTGCTTGGAAGATACTATCACATCATGGCATGGTGATGCAAATCAAAGTGGTGGATCTAAGTGTGCTTTCTCCTTTTCAAGCCGAGGCAATGACTTGTCTATGGCCTTGAAGGAGGCGTTACATTTAGGGATCTCAACTTCAAGTTTATACGGACTGTGAAGCTTTGACTGGAGATTTACGGTCTGCTTTAATACCTTCCGAGACCCATGAGGTAGTTTCTTCGTTAGTTACTAGTATTTCCTTATTTCAGTCTTGCTCGCTGATTAAAGTGAGTAGACAAGATTTATAGAAGTACATAATTTAACATTCCATAGAATGCGATATAATAGTTCAGGTACTTCTTAATTAATATACAGGTACCTTTTGAAAAAGAAAAACTATTACCAAATGAGAAGATTCGTTAAAAACTCTAAATCTTTTCTCTTTTTTTTTGGAAAATTGTTTTTATTTTCCTTTCTATTTTTGGATTTATACTTCATGGAAAGAAAACAATATGTATAATAGAGCACTCTGATGAGTGTTTTTGCTTGCGGCAATTCTCAGTTCTCATTGCTGAAGCCCCTTGCCCGTCAAATTTTGGCGGGCGCACAAAATATCATTGCAAGAGTATATAGAACAATTAGTCCGTTTTGTTTTTTACTCACAAAGTCACAAGTCGCATGGTTTGAAGCCTTTTGGATCAAACACTCTGCTGTTTAACAAATTGTAGCTTTCTCTTGGGCAGAATCTTTGCCACCAATGTCACCTATGCAATCTGTAACCTCCCAACTTGCTATCACTCTACGCCATCTCACTGCTTGGCATCGGCTTTCATTCAACCGCTTGGCTTCAAGGATTCGCACACTTCAACGCAATCTAGAAACCGCCCAGAAAACTTTGGTTGGAGATCCATCTAAAATTTTCACTGAGCAGCATCTTAGAGGGCAGCTTGATCAACTTCTTGACTTTGAATATTTTTATTGAAAACAACGAGCTCACCTTGCTTGGAATCTTGACGATCGTCACAACACGAAGGCATTCCACCATTGGGCCACTCGACGACAATCTCGGAATTGGATTTCAGAGCTTCAGGCATCGGATGGTTCTTGGGAGATGCGTCCAGCTGAACTTTGTCGTTTGATGACAAACCATTTCTGTAATGTTTATATACAACCTGATTACTATCCTTCAATCCCGCCAGTTATACAGGAATGCGACTCTCACGTGAACCTTGATGATTTGTTACAGTTTTTGCCTTCTCTCTCGGCCGAACAACAATTTCATTTTCAGCAGCCTGTTATAGAGCTGGAGATTAAGTCTGCTCTGTGGCAAATGCATCCTTGGAAGGCCATGGGTCTTGACAGAATGCCGGTAGGGTTTTTCCAACATTTTTGGAATGACATTAAGGTCTCTTTGGTACCAGTGGTTCTGGGCTTGTTTTAGACTTCTGTGATGGAACCAAGCTGTTCTTGTCCTTATTTCTAAAGTACGGGTTCCAACTGTTCCTTCTGACTACCGTCCTATCAGCCTATGCAACATCACATATAAGATCATCACCAAGGTAATGGCATCCTGCCTTCGTCGGCTAATGGCCTCTTTGGTTACAGCCCCCCAATCTGGGTTTGTCCCTGACTGACACATCCAAGAAAATGTTCTCGTTGTGCACGAGTTACTAGAGCACATTCGGCCACATAAAAAGCCCAAATCAGGCTTGGCTGCTATTAAATTAGATATGAGTAAAGCCTACGACCGTGTCTCATGGGTTTTCCTTCGTCATGTTCTTGTTCGCATGGGGTTTCCTGACTCTTGGGTGCAGTATATTCAGGAGTGCATTGAAACTATTTCTTTTACGATACGCTTTAATGGCACTCAATCATCGTTCTTTTCTCCCTCCCGTCGTCTTCGGCAAGGATGCCCGTTATCACCATTTTTGTTCATTTTGGCCCAGCAACCCTTTTCTTCCATCCTCCAACACTATGAAGGTAAACGGACGGGCATTGGTATTTAGGTAGCAAGACGGGCGCCGATCATTTCCCATCTTATGTATGCAGACGATTGCATATTGTTCACAGCTGCCAAGACCACTACCTTTTTTCTCCTTGCCCGTATTCTAGATGTATTCAGTCGCCACTCGGCAGCGGCTAAATTTTGAAAAATCTTCTATGGTTTTTAGCCCAAATACTCCATTGCATCTCCAAGGATTTCTCCAGGATGATGTTCACGTCGAGCAGAATTATCAGTCAAATCGCTATCTTGGTCTTCCAGTTGATGTTACTCATCATCGTAGTAGTATATTCTCTAACCTTTTGCAGCGAATACAACGGAGAATAACCGCTTATAAGGTTGACTCGTTGTCAATTGTGGGTAGGGTGGTGTTAGCACGGCATGTGCTTTCCTCACTCCCTACTATGGTTGCCTTCAAACTTCCAGTTTCTACTTCTCGGGCAATTGATAAAACTTTAGCGCGGTTTATTTGGAATGGTGATCGGGATGGCCGTCAGCTTCATTGGAAGGCATGGTCGACAGTTTGCAAATCTCGATTCCATGGGGGCCTTGGTATGCGTTCCTCTGAAGCGATGAATCAGGCACTCCTTGCTCTCATTGCATGGAGGATGTTGAGGCATCCAGATGCTCTACTTTCTCGATTTTATGCTGCACGATATTGTCGGCAATATGACCTCCTCTCAGTTCAGCCAGGAAAGAATGCCACTTGGGGTTGGCGCGGAGTCCTATGGGGTAGAGATTTACTGAAAACGGGTCTAAAATGGCAAGTTGCGAATGGTGAACGGATCCCAATTTCTGCAAACTGGATTCCTAATTCACCTAATCCACTTGCTTTCTGCACTTGGCAGGCTATTTCTCCTCCCATGGTATCTAGCCTTATTGATGTTAACAGGGAATGGTGTATTCCTTCCTTGCGAGCACTGTTCCCGGATCATATTGTCCACCAAATCCTAAGTATCTATCTCCCTTCGCCTGGCTCTCTGCATAAAGATAGACAATTTTGGGCTCTTGATTCCAGTGGAGAATACACAGTCCGGTCAGGTTATCATCAGGCGTGCAATTTACGCTCTTGCATACAGAGCAAAACAATCTACCTCTAGCTCTGGTTGCCACATCCTTCGCCGGTTTGGAAGAAATTGTGGACAACCGCAGCCCCATAACGCATTAAATTTTTTGTTTGGCGTGTTTTGTCTGATGCTTGTCCCACTTTGCAAGCTTTATCTCATCGTGGTCTCTCTTCGGTTGCCCGATGTGTTCGCTGTGGTTTGAAGGGCGAAACAACAAGCCACATGCTCCTGGATTGTGATGACCCTCGCCTTATTTGGCGATTATCTTCCCTGGGATTTGACTTTACTTCTGGGACTGCTTGTTCATTTGCTGATTGGTTTGTTGATTGGATGGAGCATGCTCTTGTTGATGACGTTCGCTCCCAGTCCTTATTCCTTCTGTGGGAAATATGGAAAGATCGTAATTGTCATGTCTTTAGCGAGGCCGACTTACCTCCTCCCCATGAGATGGTCGCCCGAGCCCTTTGGCAGTATCAGTCTTATTCTCCTTGTCCATCATCAATTCCTCTCGATTCAGGAGGCAGTATAGTTCTGGATCAGGTGGGTTTGTATGTACAATTCCCTTGTTTGCAGGTAATGGTGCCTTCTCCTTGTCTTCCTGCATGGGCCGCGCTGGATGGGTGTTTTTATCACCTGGAAGAGAGGTGCTTTACTCAAGTAGTTGTTCCTTTCCAGCGAATTCTCCTCTGCATGCTGAAGCCTATGCATGCCTTGTTGCACTATCTATAGTAGATTCAACAGTTTATCCGGAATTAATTATCTACCCGGACTGTTTGGTGTTGGTTCAAATTCTCTGTCGTCAGCGAGACCTTCCAGCCGAACTAGTTTTTCTAGTTGATGATATTAGGGAATATCTATGCTCCTTTTCTGTTTTTTAGATTGTTAAAGTTTCCCGTTCGCAAGTCCATAGAGCACACGTCCTTGCTGGGCAAGGGTGTCCTATGCCTGTTGTAACTATGTAAGGTTGGTTCTGTGCAATATAAATAAGCACTCGGTGCTGGTTATAAAATAATAATAATATAATAATAATAACAATAAAAAACTATCAGAAAATGATTAAGAAGTTTCGTTAAATACGCTAAATCTTTTTTCATTTTTTTTTCCTTTCTACTTTTCAATTTATAAATTTTGTGGGAAAGAAAACAATATGTAATAACTTAACACCTAGGCAAAATTTAATACTACTACGTCAGGGGGGTAGAGTACCGCCTTATAGTAGTTGTTGGTTACGCACCCGCTTATGATATAAAGCAGCTAGCTAGATAAGCTTTCCTCCATTTCTTTCTGCAACTTATATAATAAACCTTCCCATTTACTCTCTCTTCCTCTTGAAGAAATCAAACTCTGATAATAAAAAAAGAAAAAGAAAAACAGAAAACCACCAGCATGGCTAGCGACCGGCAATTAGCACTGAGCAGGAGTTTATATGGGTACCAATCATCCTCAGCTGGCAACAAGCCATCGGCACTCCTAAACTCAATATTCATGTCCACCGTTAACACCGCCGCCAAAACCCTAGTGTCGGTGGCGTCCAAATCCGGCGGTACTGGCCGCCAGGTGGAGAAATGGAAGCCGTCGGATCACCTGAGGTTCATGGTGATGATGACCACTTGGCTCACCGTTTGGGTTCTCCGAGTTCTAATGGACCACTTGCCTTTTTCTTCTTCTTTTGATTCTTCTTCTTCTGCTTATTCGTCTCCTTTTGCTCTGAGTTCGTTTGTGAATCAACAACAAGGGTTCGGCCTGGGGATGTTGAACCAGCTGGGATCCTTTCACGAGCTGTTGGCGTCGTCTTCGTCGTCGGTTTTGTCCACCGCCATGTCGGTGTTCTCGCCGGCCTCATCGGCTGCTTCGGCGGCGGCCGGTGGTTGTTTGGATTCTTCTTCTTCGTTGGATTTGGTTCTCAGTGACGGATCTGATGATGTGGCTTCTGTTAAAGCTCTCGGAAGAGCTCTTACCAACGTAAGTTCTTCTTATTATTATTATTATTATTTTGTTGCTTGGATTAATAGTACATTTAGATTTCCTATTTTTTTTTAAGCTAAAAATGAATTTCATATGAATCTGAAATATAAGCCTAGACATTTTTTCATGTGTGTTTGAATCCTTCATTAATTTTATCTTTTTTTCCATGGGGGAAATAGTTTTCTGAAAATTATTTTCCACTAATTCATGACATCTTTTGTACATTCTTAGGGAAATTTAGAGAAAAAAGAAGAAAAATAACATAATAATAATATAATTATGTAGTGAAAATTGTAATAATTTGTAACTAATAGAGTTTGTTATTTTTTAAAATTCTGTCGGTTATACTAAATAAAATAAACAAGTTTCAATAGAAGTTGTAAAGTTTATATGTACTAAAAAATAAAGAAAATTGCATGGATTCATGCAACGAGCCACGTTGTTTCTTTTCCTTAAACGTGGCACTTTCTACAGGGTGCACCGTGCACCTAAGTTCTATTTTTTATTTTTTTTAACACTCCCTGTTTTAAAATTATTGCCGAATTTTGGACATATGATATAAACTTTTTGTGCTTTACAATTCACAATTAGAAATGATAAATTTAAGAATATAAGATGATCATAAACTTTTACTTATCTAATAACCAATTATATCGGGGTGAGAAAAGAAATAATTTGGCCTTTAGTAAAGATCACTGCATCCTCTTTGTTTCTATCACATCAGTTATTGATTATTTTTAAGTTATTGCATAAGTTAGAAAGAGATTTCATAGCTAATTTTTTTTGTTGTATATATTATTAAGAACTAAAAATTTTGTGGATATACTTTTGATTAAAAAGTTTTAAATGTGTACTCTCCAAAATTAGTATCATCTTATATTTTGCATTTAGTTTAAAAAACTTTTAAATAGGTTAATAAAATTACTTAAATATTTTTTACTAACTTCATTAAAAAAATGTCCACCAATCGTCTTAATTCCTTTGAGGTTAATTTTAGAAATTTTGGACAAAAAATGTATTGAGATATGAGAACGACACTTATTTTGAAATTTCTCTATTTTGTTAAAACGACACTTATTTTGAAACGGAATGAGTAAATACTAATAGAAGAATTTATTTAGCATTCTACAGATAGAACATTAACAGTAGCGTTCTTCATCTGGAATATAATGACGTGAGAATTTGCTATTTGTAGATTTTTGCTTTATTAAATGAAATCCCAGCTTCGTCGAGGAAATACCAGTTCGCCGTGGCAATGGCTGACAAGATCGTGGACGAAAACGTCAGAGGCGGCCACGTGGAACTTCTCCAAATCAATCGGACGGCTCTTGCTTCGGCATTCGCGCGTACGTCAGAACTGGTATACGGCTCATTACAAACCGCCGCCAACCATGCCGAAGACGCCAGGCCGTGGGTGGCACGCGTTGTGAAGTCTTTACCGCTTGGATCCTACGTGTCTTTCTTCATGAAGGGTTTAGGAACGGTGTTCCCTTCTTTGGAAACCGTCACGGGTACGTTTTACCGGCAGAAGCAACTGGCTGCAGCCAGTGAGATGGAAAGGAGGTCAAATGAGCTGGCGGCTGAGAAACACGCGCAGGAGTTGTTGTGGATCACGAATAAGATGCGAGGATGTGGCGCTGTGGATGAGGCCTTGGTCCAGTGGAGTTGGGCTTCGGCCTTGGCTTCTTTGTCTCTCACTGCTAATCCCAGGGTCCAAGGCCTGATTGTCAAAATTTCAGGTAAAGTCTGGTTGATGATCCATCTTCTTCTTCTGCAATTTATGAAATGTTGAATTTGTATTGAAATTGAAGTTTGATTGTTTTCAACCATTATTGTGTACAGCAATACTAATCGGTGAAATGGGAAGACCAAGCTTGGAGGATGGAATCCCAGATGAAGTGAAGTTCAGGGTATTAGCATTATGGATTCCTCTATTCTGCTATGCTGAAAACGGGTTGTCATATCCAGTATTGAGCGGATTCGAAAAGGCGGAAATGGAGAGAATAATGAACGAACTGATCACCAGTTTGCCTTCACTTGATCAAGAAGTAATCCTTACCAATTGGTTGCAAGATTTCACAAGTACTTCCTCCTCGGATTGGCCTAATCTTCAAGTTGCTTATGACAAGTGGTGCCACTCCACTCGCAATCTTGTGGGTTGATTGCTTTGTAAGATCATGTGTAGTTTGGTTTTAGATGTTCTTTTATTTTGTTGTAATCTATTAAGTTTTATTTATACTTCATACTCCACGTTGTTCACGTTTTGTAATAGTTTCATTTCATCCCTTATATACGGGTTATTGCTATATATATATATACTATTATTTCTACGTGCTTTTTGGGTACTCTCCTCGTTTAATTTACATTTTACAACAGAGAATAGTTTTAATTTGTGCCTAATTAGTAGGTCCAGAAGGTGCGATTGGGACAAAGAGTTAGTTAATAGTATAAAATTTTAGATCCTACTGTACAACTCGGGCATGTGTCATTCTTTGCATGTTTGCAATTTGCATATGCTACAAAGAAGTTGAAAGAGTGGACATATCGAGCTAACCTACCAATCATTTGCTCTCTAAATCATTTCTGCACCCGCAAGATCCAGCAATAACTTCCTGTGTTGTTTGCAGTCTCCAACGGCTATTCACTTAGCCAAGTTTGGATTTTCATTGCAACTCCCGATAAGCCACAAACATGATAAGAAACCTTCTCCAAAAACTTGAACGCAGTTGATTCTCTGATTCTGCAGCGTCCCTTTGGCTGGTCGGGCAAAGGACTGCGTCAGAAATTTCTTCTGATGATTCCATTTGCGGTTTCATCGTTGGTGTAACTTGTACCCGGGATCATCCCCACTTCCAGTCCAATCAGGAAATCTTAAAACGTCAAGAAGGCATCTTGGCAGTTGAGAGATATTCGTGATTTCCACTCTAAACCAAAGAATACCCGAGGCGGAAAAGATGATTATGCATCAATTTCCATTTCAGCACGAGAAACTTCCGTCCCATTCTCATAATCAAGCATATCATTTTCGCTCATGACCTCATTAACCAGTGCAGTACTTGGTTCATCACTCCCATTGTCATTTCTACTTGGGTTCTCATTCAACAGAACGCTATCTTGATTTGCTGTAGGCTGATCAGACACTTGTTCCATTGCAGAATCCGATGCGTGTGAACTGCTAGGTTGACCAATTTGGGAATCCAACTGCATTTGTACCCAGACTGCTAAGGAAGAAGCGTAATCACGTGCCAAAGAGTCGTGCTGTGGGCAGTGTAGTATCTTCATCAAAGCCTGGTGATACTGGAGCATGCTAAGAGATCGTTCGACATGTTTCTTATCACGGTAAAATCTGATGGTCTTGAAAACATGGTCACATAAGTTGCCTGCATTTGCCCTATCACAATCGCATAGTGCATATTCTGAACCAGGATTACGTACAATATGGATAGCACTTCGATCTTCCTGGTCCACCACTCTTGCAATTTTATCCTCCATGGTTATGTCATCATCTGGAATTTTCATTGATTTTCGCCAAGCTGTTAGACCACTGAACCACTCATCCTTCCAGTATCGTGCAAAATCTCCCTTTCCCGAATATTCATCCAGCCAGAAATAAGAATGCACTTTTGTACCCAGCTTATGCACCAACCAGTCAGCACGCTCATACACGCTGTTGTCTTTCTCATTAACCAACCTTAACCTCAAGAGGTGGTGATAGGATTCCATTGCTGCAGATGCTTCATGGCTTGCCATGGGATAACTTTTCAGTGCATCAACCCACAAACCTGCAAATCCACCAACAAAAATCCCATTCAAGAGTCAAGACTACAAATAAAATACAAGATATTGGAAAATAAAGAGAAAGAAAAGAACTTTTTTCCTTGTGGGGTACTGGGCAAGAATGTTCTCTGAAAAATTAACATGATGATGATGTAATACGTAGAACAACTTATCTTACCTAGTCTAGGAGACCAAACTGCTTTAAAGTAGTCAACAAAATCTGAAGCATCAATGAAATCTTCCAACGCAGCCTCAAACACATGTGCATTTCCGTGTCCTTTGCAGATATTGGAGACGGACTCACCGAGCTTTTTTGATATTTCAGCACAGTAATCCATATCCGAGCATCTATTCATCAAGTTCTTGTGCCATGCATGGCGAACTCGCCAAAAGCATATCAAAATAGGGCACTGAAAAACCTCCCTGAGCAAAAGAGAAATACAATATCATTACCAACCGTGAAGATGTAAGCCCCAAGATAATACGGTATAAATCCGTACATCTAGACATAAATTACAGAAAGGAGCCACAGTGATTGGATATATTACCCCCTGGTGAAAGAATAAGTAGCTTACTTGATAGAAAGAGTGTCGGTCAAAGGATCATCCACAATAAAACCAGCTACCTTCCATAAAGGATCTTTTGTGCGAACTCTGTTGTAAAGGGCCCTCATCCATCTATAGGCATCTCCACTTGCAAACTTAGGTGTTATCATCCATGCTACTGGAATAGCCTTGTTCTCAGAGTTGAACACAACCAGACTGTGAACAGGATACTGGATACATTCCATGAAAGACAAAAGTAAGCTTAAAACACTTTCATTTACTGAATTTCAAAGTGAAAGGTGAATTTTTGAAAATGTAGAACCAACCTTCAATTTATTTGTCCCGAACCTTGAATCAGAAGCCAAGAGGCTTCGGTTACCGAATCTAATCATTTGTTGTAGCTGCCACTCGGTTTGAATACCCAAAGCGAAAGGCTCCGAATCAGAGTAATCCTCATAAAAGAAAACCCAACTCTGATGACTTTCAACCCACTTGCTAACGCTAATTGCATCGTCGCTGTCCAATTCGTATGAAAATCGTCTGATGATCCTTTCTTGTCTGCGAACATGTCTGTGGTTTAATAAGTCATCACGGTTTGATGGACCTCCCTGTCTCTCCACTGACTCCTTGTGTCTTTGCATAATGGTTTCTACAGAAACACCAACATATAAAAGGGATAAGACATGAAGCCGAAGATCCTCAGAGATGTAAGGAGCATACATCGCTCTGGTTCCAGCAGCCTTCTTATCTTGTGGACCATGACATGGTAGTCCATTCTTGTCTATATGCTCAACTTTGTTGTAAATAATTAGCGCAACAGAAGGTTCTGCAATTAAGCGCTTGACAATGAAGTGGCACGTGCAGCCTCTCTTTGTGTTTGGTCTACCAGCAGACTTCTTCTTTGGAGCATATGATGTCCTACTCGGACGAACAATACCTCCTTTTCTATGGTCATCAGGACCAAAGGAGCACCAATACCTGGAAATTCAACATAATCAACTCTTCCTAAGCTACAATAACATAGGAGGTCTTGGCATAAGAATGATTCAGAACTAGTTATAAATCTCAAAAACTCACAAAATATATTCAAGAATTCCATCAACTTTCGGCTTGCAAGTCGTATCAGAAGGACGCTTTCTCCTGGCTTCGACATGAAATCTAGTTGGACAATCCTCATTGGCAGATTCACCCCTAACAAAGTCGTCCACTCTGGCAAACGGAATGAGAGAAATTCTATCTATATTGTCACGCCAACCTTCCACAGTGGACCACACTAGATCTTTGGAAGAAAATTCCAAAGCTGGAGGATTCTGGACAGGAAGGGACAGAATCTTATCCCACCGAGCCATCTGCAACTGTGAAATTGAATTCCCAACTTTACATTGGTAATACTGCTGAAAGAAAATTTAGCTACCAAGTGTAAATTGATTACTAAAGCTAAACCATTTTCATCACAATCAACATTACAAAACCAATAATCTAACACAAACTAGAAAGAATGACAGATTACAACGGCGGGATACGAAGAAAAGCGACTTACTTTGTCATAATCTGCATAGCAAAATTACAAACCAAAGCCATACAAATTTAAGGCCATGAAAGGAACTTACAGAGAGGTGGACAAACAACTCCATCAAGTTAATTCCAGGACAACAAGTACTCAGATGCCAATAAAAAAATGTTAAAACAACTTCAAAATTTTTTTTTTTGGGCTGATGAAAAAAATCAGTGAGAAAGATACGAGTAACAAAAGCCCATTGGATGCAGCGCCGGCAATAATACATTTTCCAGAAGCAAATAGCAATTAAAATTTGTTGGCCTCAACCACGTTAACCATTATTTTCAACACAACCCAACTGGGTCTCCTGAAGAATCGAAGTCAGCTTTTGAGAATGGATAGAAATTTAAGTGATCATAGGACGAACTTCCGTGAAAAAGAAAACCCACAACAGGGACTTAAGAAAGAACAAATTCTTAAATAAAAAACTAATGGAACGGAAATTAACCTGAAGACGATAAAATTCGAAGTGAAGAGCTGCTGGACCGGGGCTTCGAGGAAGAACTATGGCGGCTGGACAGAAATGTGAGTGGAGCGGATGATCTTAAGAATTACGGTGCAGAAATGATAGTAGTAATATTCTATTGAAAAATAGAAGGAAAAAAATAGTGGAAAAAAGGCATGCATGATGAACGACGCCGTTTGGAACTGCGGCTACAACAAATAATAAAAAGTCACCGCCACCATCCAACTATTAACCTAAATCCGATAAATTACTAACATGACTCCCGTACTCATCAAAACTCTTTAAAGCCCTCCCGGAAACGCGACACCACCGGCTCTCCGACCACCGGCGCGGTTGCTTGCTTGCTTGCCGCCAACAGAAGGTAACACTATAGCTTCCTCCGCATTTGATATCTAGAAGTTTGCTCCTCAACGGAATGAATCACCACTCGCACGCTCTTCTCTGTTTATTGTGTTCTAAATCTTTGTTCTAGTTATTACTGATGCCGAATTAGGTTTTAAATTTTTATTTCTATATTGTGTTTATTTTTTCATTGTTATTATATTTAGAGAATATTAGCATTCAAATCTTGGCGAAGTTATGTTTTGTTGGTATTTGTTATAGCTCCGTATCTGAGTACTCGCAAAAAAGAGAAAAGGGTTAGGGGATGGGAAAAGATATACTTGATGATGGTCATGATCCTTTAGTAACTTATCATTAAGAGTTTCCTGGATCTTTGGTCACGGATTTTGGAGAAGAGCGTTGGAAATCTGATTTTGGGAGGGAAACTAACAAACTGAGCAAAACAAGGGGTCACTTTGGGTGGAACATAGCATTAGTTGTCTCTCCTTCATATTATACAGTTTTTTGCGTCAATTCAGTATGTGTCTTGGTTTTTGATGTTGTACTACTGTTAATCCACTTCTCTCAGCTGCAGTGCTGTACCCTCATCGTTCTGGTTCTTGTGGTAGTACCAGTTATATGTGGAAAGCTTTCTTATGTATGCTTTATTATGACTGAATTTGTATTTCAATTTTATGTGGATGCTAATGTTCCATATTCTGATGCCCCATATTGGTTTTTAACATGTACAATGTTATTGTCAGGCCTCTGCTTAAGCAATCTAGTCAATTTTCAGCTATTTGAGGAAGGAATAGGGAAGAATTCTTCTGATTCAAGCAGTGGCGAGGAGGGTGAATTGCCTGCTACACTGACTGGTTCTAAGAGAGATGAATATGATCATGGGAGGCGAGACAGAAAGAGAGAAAAGTATGATAGTGATGATGATGGAAACGGAAGGGGAGGAGATGATGATAGAGGCCGTAGAAGCCGATACAAGAATGACGAGGCAGAGGATGGTGATGTTGATGAGAAGAAATACCTACGACGGGGAAGAGATGAGAATGACAGACTTGAAAATGGACGCTCGGTTAGGGACGATGATGATAGGAAGGGCCGACGAAGGAGTGAGCACCACGAGAGGGATAGAGTGCATAAGAAGACGGAATCTAAGGGTAGGGATACATATGACGATGTTGATAGAAAAGATAAGAGGAAGAGGGAGTCTGATGAGAGGAATAGGGGAAGCGATAGGGGAGAGGATAGTGACGATAGGAGAGGGAGAGATGATAACGAAAAAGGGCGTAACAGGGATACAAATGAAAGATATAAGGGAAGGGATAGGGAAAGGGAAGATGACGATGATAGGAGGGGCAAGAAACAAAGTAGGAGAGAGAGACATGAGCGGGATGGATATGGCAGCATTGAGGATAAGAATGTGGGCAGTGATAGTGACCCTGATAGGAAAAACCGAAAGAGCAGGAGGGATAGGAGGGACAGGGAAAGAGAGAAGAGACGAGAGGATGAGCGTAAAGATCGGAGAAGGCGTTGGGATGAAGGGGAGAAGGAGATAAACACTGGAAGGAAAGAGGAAGATAAGAATGGGGAGCGAGAAGTTGCTGGAGGTCAGGTGAATGTTGAACCTAATGTGCTTCAGAAACCTGAGAATTTGGGGAGGATTGGTGGAGTTTATATTCCTCCATTCAAGCTGGCAAGGATGATGAAGGAGGTGGAGGACAAGGCCAGCTTGGAATATCAAAAAATGACATGGGACGCTCTGAGGAAGAGCATAAATGGGCTTGTTAACAAAGCTAATGCTATAAACATTAAAAATATTATCCCCGAGCTCTTTGCTGAAAATTTGATCAGAGGGAGAGGCCTGTTTTGCAGGTCATGCATGAAATCTCAAATGGCATCCCCTGGTTTTACTGACGTCTTTGCTGCTTTAGTTGCTGTTGCAAACACAAAATTTCCTGAAGTTGGTGAGCTCCTACTTAAAAGGATCATATTACAACTGCAAAGGGCCTACAGGCGTAATGATAAGGTATGTTATCCATTGACTTGCTGTTCTGTATTTACGCTTATCCGTTGACCATTTTTTTCTGTTAACTGACAACTTGTTGAATTGATGTAGCCTCAATTGCTGGCAGCTGTGAAGTTTGTAGCTCATCTGGTGAATCAGCAGGTGGTTCATGAGCTTATTGCTCTTGAACTCCTGACAATTTGGCTCGAAAACCCTACAGATGATAGTGTTGAGGTTGCTGTTGGATTTGTGACAGAATGCGGCTCCATGCTACAGGACCTCTGCCCGAAGGGATTACATGGTCAGTTAAAAAGTTACCGCTTTGTTTTTCTTTGTTGTGGTTTGTTTAGTTTACTAGTCTTTCTTCTTGTTGCATTCTTTTTCTTTTCTTTTTTTTTTTCTATTTTTTTTTTTTGGAATTGCAACCATACTCTTTTGAAACCTATCCATTGCATCTCATTCCTGATTGCTTCTTGTCTTTCACTCCTTTGCCAGAGATATATCGTGCCGTAATTTATGTCTGCGTGATTCCTTTTGTTGTAGATCTGTTTTATGTATCTAACTGGTTTTTCCAAATTCCCGTTGATATTGTTTTCTAGATTTAGTTTCTGAAACATATTCATGCTTCTAATTATGTTGAAAACTACTTGTTTTACTTTTCTGTATCTGCTTGCATATTCACGCGTGATCACTATTTTCAGTTAGCACGTTGAGTGAAATCTCTATCATTACTTCTTCAAGTATCGATGGTTTCTCCATTTACATCTTCTCTATGGGTCATATATCTCCCAAGTCTTATCTTGTATGAATATGTCATGGTATATACGAGTTGTGGGGAAAATTGCAGAGTTGACATCTGCCAGATCTTTCCCCGTGTTTAAGTTTGTTACTTGCATGTACTTGAAATGTTCATTTTGGCGTTGTTTACAAGATCTTTTTCCATTGAATGAGCTTTGGCTTCAAAATTTGAGATGGTTTCGGTTCTGCGTCTTTGAGTGCCATGTCAGTATTCAATGCAGGTGTCTCATGTCTGGATTGAACAGTCTACCTGGATTAGTTCACTGCAACTGTAATATTTCCAGTAAAACAAACAATTTTGTGGCAGCTTGGAAAAGTAGAGCCTATCATAGCTGCCTTAATAAATTGTTAAGCTAGAATGCAGACATGCAGAATAAGCTTATGCTGCAGCTTATGTGTTTATTTCAGAATTAGATGTACTTTTATGAAACTAAAGTGCATTTGGAGAAATGTTTACTCAATTACTGTTGAATTAGACCTGAAATTTGATGATCTTTCCACTTTGTTGTCGAAATTCTTTTCGCTTTATTGTTCAGACACATAATTCCTAATATGCTGAATTAATGTCCTTAGGTTACCGATGTATCTTGGTTCTTTTTTAATAGGTATTTGAGCGGTTCCGTGGAATTCTTCATGAAGGAGAAATAGATAAGCGGGTTCTATTTTTAATTGAAGGCCTTTTTGCTTTGAGGAAAGCAAAATTTCAGGTTCAGTGCTCATCCTAAGTTCACCCTTGTTCCCAACTTTCTGTTACATTGCTGGCTCTTTTCTTTGATTATGGCTGGCTCAGCAAAGCAAGTATATTAATTACTTCACGCAATTATGTTATACAGGGATATCCAGCTGGTCGGCCAGAACTAGACCTTGTGGAGCTAGAAGATCAATTAACTCATGAAATTTCTCTTTCAGATGAAATTGATCCTGAGATTGCTTTAGGTAACTGTGACATTCATTGTTGCCCCCCCAACCAAAATTCTCACTGTTTTGGAAGGTCTAATTGTGTTTTTTTGCTATTGATATGTAGATATTTTCAAACCGGATCCCAATTTCTTGGAGAATGAGAAGAAATATGAAGACCTCAAGAAGTCAATATTAGGTGACGAGTCTGATGATGAAGCTGAGTCTGATGGGGAGTCAAATGATGATGATAGTGAGCCTGAGGAGGAATCTGAAGAAGAGGAAGAACGTATGAAAATACAGGATGAGACAGAGACAAATCTAGTTAACCTTCGGCGAACCATCTACTTGACGATCATGTCTAGTGTTGACTTTGAGGAAGCTGGTCACAAGCTGCTGAAAATCAAACTAGAGCCCGGCCTAGAGGTTTGTTTTACAAGGCTTTCCCAAACTTTTCATGCTTTATGTATTTGTGCTGAACGTACATTTTCATTGGTGGTATTTAGAACCTTTCTTATGCTATTGATTTGGCCTCTTTTTGCGCTCTTATTTGATATGTGAGTAGAGTTGGATACATTTTCTTTGCTTCTCTTAGTAATTGAGCTCCCTTCCAGCCAAAATTTTTTTGCATCAGCCCATAATTAGTTGAGTGATGCATGGTATCTTCCACATTTTTTGTTTTACCATTTTAGATTGACATGAATTGTTCCACAGTTTTATGACCCATTGCCTGTTTTATGGACCATTGCCTAAATACTTTCAGAGGCCAAATAGTTTGATAAAAAAGTTTCCTTAGTCTTCACATTGATTGGTTTTACTGTCTTTCAGTTTTAAGAATTCTTTATTTGTGGATAAGCTTTTCAGGCTTCTGATTTTATTTTGATGACTTGCAGATGGAATTGTGCATTATGCTCTTGGAGTGTTGCAGCCAGGAGAGGACCTAGCTTCGATACTATGGACTTCTTGGCCAACGTTTTTGCATGATCAACAAGGTTTATCAAGTGAACTTCGAAACATGTTTTGTGCAGCAGTATTCTATGATCCATCGGCTTGAGACAAATAAACTGCGTAATGTCGCAAAATTTTTTGCGCATTTACTTGGCACTGATGCTCTTCCCTGGCATGTCTTGTCCTACATAAGACTGACTGAAGAGGATACAACATCATCTTCCCGCATTTTCATTAAGATTCTCTTTCAGGTATTTCAACTATGCACAAAATTCGTTATGTTACAATGTTCTTTTTTGCATAAAATACCTAGTACTATATTCTTGGGTTCCCTTTTATGATTCCTGAAAATTCTGATTTCAAACGTGTAGCTGATGGGTTTGGAGTGGTTCTAAATTTCTTCCTTTGTAATTTGCAGGAATTGTCCGAGCACCTTGGTATCCGCCTGCTGAATGAGAGGCTGAATGACCCCATGATGCAAGACTCATATGAGTCTATTTTCCCGAAGGATAATCCGAAGAATACTAGGTTTTCTATCAACTTTTTCACTTCAATAGGTTTAGGTGGAATCACTGAAAACCTGAGAGTACTTGAAGAACATGGCACGACTTATCATGCAACAACTACAAAAACCAGCCTCAGATGATGAGTCTGATAGTTCTGGTTCCCATGATTCAGATTCATCAGGGTCTGCTTCTTCATCAAGCTCAGCTGATAGTGATAGCGAAAGTGATAGAGGAAAAGATGATAAACGAAGAAAGCGGAAAAGAAGAAGCTGAAGAGAAGAAGGCATTTGTGGTGGGGTGACCTTATGGGCTATATTTTACTTTGTGGTTCTGATTTTTTTTTATTTATTTTTTTTGAGCAGAGCATCTTGTACTTATAATGTATTAAAAACATTTTCTTTCAATCTTAAAGTTGAAGAAGTGTCTTTTGCCCAAAATTTATTTATCTAACTGGGAATTATTCAAGGTACCCCAACGAATCACATTGAAATTATTCGGGCTTGCTCGAGAAGAAGGTTTGTTTTTTTTCTTTTTAGTTTCTTAGCCTAGAAAACAGAACCTTATGAAGGGCATTTCTACTCCGGAAAAATAGACCGTTATTGCTATTTTCAGGCTGCAATAGAATGGCATTATATACAATCCCTATTTGAATGTCTCTTTTGTAAGATTAAGGTTCAACCAATGCAAAACAGTTTTATTATCTTTCTAAACAAGTTTATTAAGTATTATAAGATTTATTTTGCAAAAGCTGAAAGAAGGGTGGATTCACCGGCTTGGTCCTGCCAACATGGTCAATTCTGAGTTATATTATCGCTATGAAATGCTAAGTTAGAATTTGTTTTGAATTTCAAGAGCTTTCTTGCTTAGATTAGTTATATACTTGGGGAAAAATTCCCAAAAGCTATAACGGAGTGATATTTTGACAAAATTAACTGGTTTTCATCAATCTATGTATAGTAAATTGAAATGTATCCAAGCCCCAACACAATCAGTATCACTCTGAGGAAACAATTTTGAAAAACTGCAGCTCTTATGAGACCATCAAACATGAGGAAGTGAAATATTTCATTCACGAGCAACAATCTCCACACGGATATGAGACAGAATAGCTAGTTATTCTTCAGCAACCACAGTGATATCACCTCTTTCCAACAAGTTATAAAATGCTCTAACTTTTCGCTGCTCATTCCAATGATGCATCTTCCACACGGTACCGGCAGCTAGGCCAAGCACTGCTCCAACAACCAACTCCTTCACCACACTTGGCCCTGTCAAGGTAGCATGCACAACTCTATGGCCAGCCATTGAGGTTTGCAATTCACAAGCAGAAAACTGCACAAACAGGGGAAAAGAACAGGTTATTTCCCATGCAGACTAAAAGTTCTAATAAATCACAAGCGAAACATCGAAATGATCAGGGTACAAATCATCATCATGTGGAAATCTCAGAGACTAAATAAGCCAACCAAATCATACTTTGGTAGATCCAAATCAGTCCAACTTTCATAATTGCACAAAAATAGCAAATGCTGCAAAGCATTAGAACACTGCTACACTAACATATGACATGAACCTTGTCTTCCACAACAATGGCAAGGGTAGCCATCACTTCCCATATGTTTAGCAAATGCTGTTAATTTCTCCAACACAAAACTGCAAAATCTATAAATACGAACTTTCCCTCCAGAAACACAAGGACCAGCAATCAAATATATAGAAAATTCTCAAAGTGGGTAACTGGCCTCAAGCCCTCAACATGTATATAGTTTTACTTCGAAAAGGACTTCAAAGAAAGAACACCATTATAGAACACCATTATTACATGATACGGCATATGAAAATATAGGGGTATTTCATTGATTCTTTCATATACAACCCAGAATTCAACATCGTAATTCTTATAAAAAAGTATTTTCTCCGGCTCATTGCAAACCAATCATTCTTGAACCATGTAAACCAATGCCTAACAAGAACTAAAGACAGATATCAACAAAGTGTTCTAACGAATACACTTAGATTACAGACAAGCAGCCGAAACACTAATTCAGACAAAAGAATGAAGCAGATTGTATCAGAGAAGAAATACAGAACCACTGAAACTAACATAACCCCTCTTACTCAAAAGCCGACTGAATTAGCTTTTGTCAGAAGGAAAAAAGATGCCTCCTTTTCCTAATCCGGTGCAGTACGAAAAGCATTACAGAAATCCACTCCTCTTCAATACATAAGTACTTGATTGCTTTTTCTATTAATTTATAAAAAAAAACACACACACACACACACCCGCAATGCAATTTTAATGAAGCAGAGACGGGTGGTTTGTTTGTACACAAAATTGAACAAATCGTTAGCTCAACAATGAGGGGCACAAAATTTTCAATAAATAAGTCGAAACAATAATGCCAGAAAAGAGAGATGTCAGATCAGATCTAAGCAGCAAAAAAAGTATCCAATTTCGACAAATAATACAATCACCCAAAAGCCAAGGAAATGAAGTTCGCAACGATTAAAAAACAATAGTAAGAAAAAACTAAATGAAATCTTATGAATTCAATCGGAGGTGATGAAACGAGAGATTTAGGGTTCCGATGAAATACCTGACGATGATTAGAAGAAGGTCGGACGGAACCCGGGACGACGACGATGAAAGAATCTGAAATTCTGAACATCCCTTGTGATGAAAATGCAGCTGCTTTTACTGTTTAAATGTCGACATTACCCTTTCTAAAGTAAAACTTTTTTTTATATCTAATTCTACTCATTTAATCCAAGTAATGCTACACAATCCAGCCAAGTTTTTTCCACTGTTACAACTTACAACTCACCAACTGCTTAGGAAAAACTACGATTTTGTTTGTTTCGTTTTTTAAATATGTATTTTTATGTGTTTTTTATATTGGAAATGTAAAAAAGTGTATTGAAAATGTAAAAAAAATATGCTGAGATAGAACAGTTATTATTAAAATAATTTGAAAAAACCATTCAAAAACCAAACAAACAGAGTATTTCACTATTACAACTCACTAACTGCTTAGGAAAAATTACATTAGTGTTTGATGTAGTAGCTTTTTCTTTCTTCTTTTTCCTGAACCAAAAAGTGGTGATAAATGATCAAAGCTGCATGCACAATTGTTTTTGTTATTGTACTAAATTTGAAATGTGATTTAAAAAGTTTATCAACGTAAATTTAAAATCTTGTACGTAAATTTAATTTTTTAAACCACCACCGCCGTTGTCGAATCGTCATCCTCTGTCGCACAGTTTTCACCCTTTTAACAAAAAAAAAGAAAAAGAGAGGGATTTACCCTTTTAATTCAAAAGAAACCCGCAATGAAGAAATATAGGTAGGATAATTTATTAAAAATATGTTTTATGTCTCAAAATTATTGTGCAGTTTTAATTTTTACTCCTAAATTAAATTATATTAAAAATAAAAATCTAAATTAAGTAATAATATTGAAACAAAGAAATTATTAAATTTAAATTGCTTGACGATTCTCCTCTCATGCATCATCAAACTTCATAATATCCAAGTCATAATGTCAACCGAGGGTTATTGGTGTTGACATCTCGAAGGCTTCGCCAATAACGATGATTGTTGCTAAAATACTTCAAACTTGAAATGATTATGACACTTCCAATAATTTTTTAAATTTTTTCTTAAAGAACCTTGTTCTTTTTTCATCAAAATTGGATTCCTATTCTATTACAAACCATTAAATTATAAACTGTAGAGAATTTCGCTTTGTCTAGTATTTTGAAACACTGAAGTATAGAAGGGACAAAGAAAAGTTAGAAATACCAAAGAAATAAAAAACGTATAGATAATTCAAGTGTTCTTCATGGCTGAAAAAAAATCATTTCTCCCTCTACACTCCCAAAAGAGAGAAAGTCCTCTCTTTCTCCAAGTGAGAAGGGCCTTACTTCTACTACCAACTTCCTTCCTTCCTCATCCGGTTCCACAAGCCATTAACTTCTCTTCATCTTTTTCACTACATTTGGCAACCAGAGGCTCATTTATGACATTTGGACAACATGCAGTTTAACCAATTTTAAAATTCTGCCTTTTTGAAAATTGCATGCACTTATCAGATCTCTTCTGATTTGATTTAATCAAACAGATTACCTCTTTGGTCTCTTGCATTTAATATCAACATAGTAAAACCCGGATACAGTACCTCCTTTATTCTCTCTTTATTCTTCCTTTTTGTCCGTTTGTTAAACCGAGGCATTAATGATCTCTTAGGTCTTCATGACTTGTCTGCTCAAGATTTCCTTTACCGAAAAAGCATAACACCTTTTCACATCCTTGACTGCTCAACTTCTCAACTTCTCCCTGCTCCTTCAAGTCCTTTTCAATCTTCCATTGTAGCTGCCTTACCTCTACTGTTGTTGCTCCTTCAAGAACATGAGTTCAATTCACCCACGGAAGTTCATCCTCAATTCATCTCGACCACATATGAGAGATCTCTGCGTGTCTTGCTTAATGATTACAATACTAGTCTTTCTAGGGACAATTTCAAGCTCTGTTTGCTCGGATATATACTGGATGATAGATCCTTCACGGATGCGGACATGCAGGCTTACATGACAGAGAACTGGCCCATGTATACTAGGATCTTGCATTATGATAGAAATTTTTTCATAATTAAGTTTGCGTCAAGGGCAGATCTCCTCCTAGTCTTAGACAATGGACCTTATGCGGTTGATGGCGGTCTCCTAACTCTGCGAAGGATGTATGATGAAGAGGATTTGGTTTTGGACAGCCTTCAAATTGACAGACTCAGTGTCTGGGTTCGCATGCATGGTGCTGCCATCACATCCTACAACTACCGTGGTGCTAGGGATCTGGCAAAGAATTTGGGAGAAATTGTAATCATCAAGGAAGATTGTGTGAATCTCAGGAAAGCAACATACATCCGGGCAAAAGTTTGGATAAATTCGGGGGATCCACTTACCCCAGTTTTCCACAATACTTAAAGAAATGGCAAGTTAGGGAAAATCAGATGTAAGTATGAGTGTGTACATAAATTCTGTACACGTTGTGGTAAGCTTGGTCATCCGGCACAGAGGTGTCTTATGGTGGATGACGCTGCTCTGTTCAATTATCTGGACAACCATTTCATGACCTGAGCCATCAAGAATGATTCTCCAATGCTCATTGATGCTCAACGTCCACTGTTCTCTGGTGCTATGAGAGCACATGGACACAAGCAGAAACGATCCTCCAGAATTATGGCCAATAAGTATCTACAAATGCATCGCTTCTATGAAACTGTGCCAGAGTACTATATCCAAGACGGATTTCACATCACAGAAGTGGATGCCCCTCAGCCGGATGCAATGTATCCTGCCATGTTTCCCGATGATGATGATGATAATGATGAAGACGGGCACATAACCAAGACAATGCAGATCATCCTGATCAGGGTGGTGACGGTCCGAATGGGAATGATGATAATGATCATCCTGGAGGCAATAATAATTTTCCCGCTGATAATGAGGACCCAGAAGGAACTCAAAGGGATGATAGGGATTTTGATCCGTTGTCTGCTTCTCGCCCCAATTATGAGGACCTGTTCGCCAATGACTACCCGGATACTACCAGACAGGCTGCTCCTGCTGCACCGGCATCTTTCACAGATGATTCGGACTCTGCATCTTCTGGTACGTATCACTCTGTGCAACCTGAATCTTTTAATTCTCTCAACCTTGTCAATGGTTTGTTTGGTAATTCGGACTCGGAGATGTCAGAGTCCTTGCAGCCTGAGGAAATTTTAAGTCATTCCCATTTCGATGCTGTTGTTGATGTTTTTAGTATTATGAATTCTGAATTTGTGGGTGATGGGCAGTTATCACGAACCTCTGTTTTTGATGTAATTGTATCAGACAGTGAATCTGTAACTAGTGATAGTAGGCCTGCCAATCGGCCATCTAGGGTTTCCACTTTCGGAGAGGATGTTAATTCTCCTGTGTCAGAGTCTAGCTCCTTCCTTAGGTCTTTAATGTATAACTCGGCCTCGGAGGAGAATAGTGGATTGCAGCCAAGTGCATCTGAGTCAGAGATATCCTCCCACATTTCTGCCTGGTCTACAAAGAGAAAAGGGGCATGGATAATGTCGGCTCCAGAGCTGGACTATGACAGTGCATCTGACACCACTGAGGAAGTCCATTCCTATAACTTCAAAATTCGGAAAGTGGTATCCGATTCAGAGGTTGCTGCTACATTGATCCGGCAGAACAAGCGGAAGAAACAGAAGGCTCGTAGGAAGTCCATGGAACCCACATAACGATCAGTCTCACAGCCATCCAGTTCCAATCCTCCCCAAAAAGATATTCTATCATCTTCCGGCGGATTGACACAGGGAGGAACTTGGCGAATGTCGGTGGAGGAGAAATTCCAGGATCCTGAGGAATTGCTGTCTTGTTCTAGGAAAAGACCACTGGAGTCACAGGAGAGAAGCTGGAGCAGTAACAAAAAGTTTAAGTTTGGGAGCAGTGCCATCACTTGTGCACTGCTGGAACAAGAGATGGAGAAGCTGAAGAGTTTTGCGGTGGTTGAACCAGATCAACCGCCTTCACCAAAATGAATATCCTTGCTTGGAATTGTAGAGGTATTAATAGTGTCTCTACTCAGCAGTATGTAGGTAGGTTATATAAACATTATAAGTCTAAAATTCTATTTTTAATGAAGACTAAAGCAAGTAGTAGGTTTTTGGTAAAGTGGCAACAGACCACACCTTTTGGACATTCTTTTGTAATAGATCCCATAGGGACTTCGGGTGGTCTCGCTTTATTTTGGATGTCAGACGTAAAGTTAGATATTATGTTACAGGACCCGAATGTAATAGTAGCGAGGATATGCGAATCCTCGGGGCTTAGTTGGTTAGCAGTTTTCTTGTATGGTCTTCCTAGTAGGCAGGGCCGTGCAGAATTTTGGTCAAATCTTAGCTCCAAGCTAAGTTCTTTTCATTACCGTATTGTGTTATTAGGAGATTTTAATCAAGTAGTGTCACAGGAGGATAAGTGTGGTGGTAGATTAGTTAGGGATCAAGATACGGGCCCAGTGCGGCAGTTTCTGATGAGGAATAATTTGGAGGAACTTCAACATATGGGATGTTGGTACACATGGTCCAACAATCGACAACCAGGAGAGAGAATTTTTGAAAGATTGGATCGTGCCTTTGTCAACAGACAATGGTTATCTATGTTCCCCTCGGCTTTTGTTAGGAATCTCCCTATTATGGTTCGGATCATGCTTCTATTGTGGTTCAGGTCAAGCACAAGCAGAAGAAAACAAGACCGCGTTTAAGGTTTGAACAATTTTGGACAAACACCCTGACTTCCACAGAATTGGTTCACACTGCCTGGAGCAATGATAATTTACAGATTCCTAACGCCCAAGAGAAATTGTCCTTTAAGCTCAAATCGAGTCTTATAGGCCTGTCTAACTGGAGTAAGGATACCTTTGGTAACCTTGACAAACTAGTAACAAGGCTATCGACTCAACTGGCCATTTTACAATCCCATTGGGAGGAGCATACTGATGATGATTCATCATTTAATCTCCTCTCACAGAAAAAAGAGGAATTAGAGCAAGCTCTTCAGTATCAACGGGATTACTAGCATCAACGCTCCAAACTTGTCTGGCCAGTACAAGGAGACAAGAACACAAAATACTTTCATAAATGGACTTCTAAGAAGAAAGGTAGTAACTGGATCACTGAACTGCAATCCAGTGACGGTCAGTGGTTATATGATTCAACACAGATTTCTCAAGTCCTTTTGAGGCACTTTCAGGATCTTTATGATGTGCAACTGTCGAGTTCTTCTGGCTCCTCAGCACCAAGTAGCCAAGTAAATTCTGATCCCTTAACCTCCCCGTTTTTTCTTCAATTCCTCAATCATATGCAGGAAGGCATCACTCTAGAGCAAAGAACAGCTCTGGAAACATCATTCTCTGCCCAAGAAATTTGGAAGGCTCTTAAACAAATGTCATCCTGGAAATCACCGGGTCCAGACGGTATGCCGGCTGGATTCTACAAAACATATAAGCATATCATAGGATCAGATTTGGAGACCTCCATTTTGGAAGCAGCTGAAAGTCAACAATTCCCTCATGAGTGGAACCAGACTAATATTGTCCTCATCCCTAAGTTGCCTAATCCAGTCACTTCCAGGAATTTTAGACCAATAAGTCTCTGCAATGTGAAGTATAAGATCCTCTCGAAGATGATTGCCAACAGACTTAAACAGGTCACGTCGGAGCTCATTAATGAACACCAGAATGGTTTTGTTCCAGGAAGAAATATCAGTGAGAACATTTTACTTGCGCATGAAGTCATAGAATACATCAGGAAAAAGGAGGGTGATGTAGGTGTCGCAGCAGTCAAATTAGATATGAGTAAGGCCTATGATAGGATATCATGGCCTTTTCTGCAAGCGGTACTAGTCAAGGTTGGCATCCCACAAAGAATCATAAATCTTATCATGCACTGTGTCACCACGGTTACCTACTCTATCCAGTTCAATAGTGAATATTTGCCTTATTTTGCTCCCAACAGAGGTCTCAGACAGGACTGTCCTTTGTCCCCTTACCTATTCATTTTATGCCAACAAGCTCTTTCCTCGGCAATTAGGGCAGAGCTACAAGTGTTTCCAGGGCTAGGCATCAAAATCAGTAAGCAAGCACCAATAATCAGTCATCTCATGTATGCTGATGATAGCTTATTCTTCTTCGAGTGTCGGGACACATCTATTCAGGCATTGTCTGGATTACTGGAGGATTATGCTTCCTATTCAGGTCAAAAGATCAACTATCACAAATCCTCCATTTTAGTGAGTCAGAATACATCAGCTTCAATGAAAACTCTGGTACACAATACCTTGCATATCTCTGAAGGGACTTTTCAGAGCAAATATCTTAGTTTGTCTCTAGATTTCAAACAGAAAAAAACAGATATCTTTAGGGAATTCACTGCTAGGCTCCAAAGGAAGTTTGCGGACTGGAAGACAAAGCTTCTTAGCTTTGCAGGGAGGGTTACATTGGCAAAGGCTACTTTATCAGCTATGTTGGTATATTCGATGGGTGTTTTTAAACTTCCAGCCTCCACATCAAAGAAAGCTGATGGAATCATTGCTCGTTTTATATGGAAAGGTGATGATCAGGAGCAAGGAATTCATTGAAAATCTTGAAAGAAGATGGCTAAATCACAGTTTCATGGGAGCTTGGGACTCAAAGCCACTGCCGAATTTAATCAAGCTCTATTGGCTAAATATGCTTGGAAAATTTTGGCACAGCCATCTTCCCTTTTATCCAGAATATACAGAGTGAAATACTGCACCATGGAAAATTTTTCACATCAGACTCCACCCACCAATGCCACTTGGGGATATAAGAGTGTTTTTTGGGAAGCAAAACTCCTTCACAACAACATAAAATGGAAGGTTATAAGTGGTAGAGATATCCCGATTGCCAGCAACCGGATTCCTGGAGTCACTAATCCTATACAGTGAAATCCTTTTTTAGCTCAACATTCCAATCTGATGGTTAGTGATCTTCTCCGACCAAAAGACAATGGAAAATGTCTCTCTTCAGATCTTTTTTCCAGACCAGTATATTCCCTATATAACTGGAATATATGTAGATCCTGCAAGACATATGCAACCAGATGTACTTCTGTGGCAAAAGACAGATCATGGTTCCTATACGGTCTAATCAGGGTATCATGAAGCTCTAAACCGAGACTCTCCCACCTTCTCTGCTCAAGCCACCCAACAGATTCCCTCACATATGGACAGCTTGGCTTGGAAGAAGTTGTGGAATGCTAAAGTACAAGCCAAACACAAATTCCTTTTTTGGAGGGCGGCACTTAATGCCTTACCATCCAAACAAGAACTTGTGAGAAGAGGAATATAGGTTGATACTTCCTGTCCAAGGTGCTTTACCGGATTGGAGGACAATCTTCATTTCTTTTTCAACTATCCAATTTCTCAAGCAGTCTGGAGCTTTGCATACCCAAATTTCCAATCAATCTTAAATGCCTCCATGACCTCGATACTGGATTGGTTTAAATCATGGATTCAAACTCAACCATCTTCTGAGGATATTGACCTCTTCCTCTTAATCTTCTGGCGCATCTGGTTAGACAGAAATGATAAAGTGTGGAGAAGTCAAACTAATGATCCGGTCACTTCATGGAGATTAATACAACAGGACCTTAAGCAGCACAAGGTTTTGCTGTCCAGACTGAGGTCACAGACGGCTTCGTCTTCACCTACCCTTCCTCCTAGCAGGCCTAGCGATCCATTGTCAGAAATTACTTTTGATGCATCCTTTAATCCCCATAACAAAAAGGCCGCAGGAGCCTGGCGAATTCTCTCTTCAACCGGGATGTTGCAGATTAAGACAGTTTCCATAACATCACTGTCACCTCTCCAAGCAGAAGCTACTACCTGCTTACAGGCATTACAAGATGCGTCATCCCTGGGCATTCAAAAGCTCCACATCTACACAGATTGTGAACTCTTGACCACCGATCAGGAAATTTCTAAATTTCCAACTGAAGCTCAAGAGATAATCGTCAACATACGTACTCTATTGGCTACTTTTCGGCTTTGCTTACTGCTAAAGGTAAACAGAACAGTAATTCAGGATCTACACAATTTAGCTTATGCGAAAATGGTGTACTAGTTTAGGTGTCCCTTAATTAATCCAGGTACCAATTCAAAAAAAAAAAAAATAGTTGAAAAAGTGTCCAATGATAATTGTTTTTTTTCCTATATATTCGCAGAGTGTTCACCATCGGCAACAGTGACTAATCCCCCTCGTTGCAATATGTCCAACGATAATTGTTACATTCAAAAAAATACATAACAATTCAAAAAAATACATTATGCAGCCACTAAAAGTATGGGCCAAAACAACTTTGAAATTACCGCAATGAGTTTGGGTAAAAATCGCAAATAATGTAGAAAGAGAAACAATTCAAAAGCTGCATAATTAACGCCTTAGTTAAAATCAGGCTTCTCAGGGTAGGTGCAGCCAGACCTCTGAAGGATGACATTCGCGGCGTAGCAAGCTGCTCTTAAGCATTCTGCAATAGGTTTCTCTTGAACCAATTGTGACAAAAATCCTCCCACAAAAGCATCACCTATGAAAATGTTCCATTAAAAACACAAATGAGTTGTTATTGTTGCCCCAATATGCGATCTGACATGCAAGCAACCAATTTGAAATATTAATTTTCAAACTTCTAAGAGTATTCCTTCGAAACTTCTAAGAGTGAAAGTGGAAACTTGTTTATCCATGTCGGTGCAAAATGAAGCCTCAGATAATGCATGTCTGCAAGCTGGTAAAATAGCTTTATTCATCATTTTGTTTCTACTTTCTCTTTCTATACTCATTGAGGTCAAGTAGACAGAACCTAATGCACAATATTTTGAACTACCACCTGGGAATTAACAAGACTGTAGAAACAAATACCTGCGGTATTGGTATCAACAATTTTCTCCTTTGGCAACAAAATCACGGGGTACAACTGCACTTTTCCATCCTCAGCAATTACAACAGGATCGGCACCCTGAGTAATGACAGTAATCCTTTTGTGGGTTCCGGATGCCTTAGGCCACTGTGAAATCTTGAGAGCTATTTCTTCAACACTATCAGTCTGCCCATGGAAACCATTCCGGCAGTTAGTCACAATCTCAAAATTAAGCTATACAAAGATCAAGGATCATGTAATCAGTACCTCCCAGCCATGGACTTTTGCAAAAGTTCTTGCTTCTGTCTCATTTCCAAATACGTAGTCTGTGTACCTGATCTCGAAAAATAGAATCCAGATCAGTATAGGAACTGCCCGAACATATGATTCGATACATATTCTAAGGGCAGAAGGCCTTACGGAAGAGCTTTCTCTTGTACATCCTTGAAAAATTCACAAATAAATGGTGCAGAAAGGTTCATCGTGAAAACCTGTAGATGAATCATCTGAGTTCATCAACATGATGACGCTAATATATAAAATTAACAAAAAATAGAAGAAAAGAAGCTATCAATTAACATGTCGAAAAATAACCTTGTTCTTTGCAGCTGCATGTTCAGCCACAAGCATGATAGACTCTGGGGAAACAGTGAGGAAAAATCCAGCAATATAGTAGTACTTGGCCTTTTCAACTGTACATAGATGAGAAATTAGCTCAGAAGAGATGCAGTTTGTAAATCACAGGGCAAACTAATAGAATAGAAGACTACCCAAGGCCCAATTTTCTGGTCTCTTTAAGTGCTCAAATTTGTAGCAGTTAGCAGCTGACAAATTCGCAACGAGAGATCTGCATAAAATTACATCACAGATTATCATCTTACTTGCTAGTTCATTCTTTCAGTATCCCACGGATAATGGTTAATTTTGCATCACGGGATTCAGGAGCAACCCAAAAACATACTACCAAACGATACCTCAACTGATTTAAAACTAACCTTTCACCACCCACCACACAAACAGCACAAGTTCCTGTTGGAGCAGCCTCATCCTCGTAGTAATGAACCTAGATAAGATACAACAAAGTGAGTATTGTGGCACGCTATTCTAGTTTCTTGTTCAAGTTATGGTACTCATAGGGACAGAATCACTAAACTTTTGCATAATGACCAATGAACCATCTCAAATCAGTTCTCAGTTAAGCAACAGAAACTAAATACTGTGCAAAAATCTAAGAAAAAGCTACATCAATCACCATGCAGAGTTACTATGATGTTGTGACCATTTATCATCACACTACATGACAAACACAGAAGATAAATTTATCACATTACATTAACACCAGATTGTCTTGAGTTCTTCTTCATCTCCTCTCCAAACTTGTCCTTTCCGATCGAACCCATGAAACTCGTTGCCCCAGGAGATTGGAGCATCCACTGCAATAGAACAAACAGAAAAGAGTATTTAGTAATAAAAAATTGTCAACTAATAGAGTGTTCGGTAAATCAACTATGTTTCAAAAGATTTAAATGTGTTAAATATTTTTCTCCAATCCTGGCAAGGAAAAATAATTAGTGGAAGTTTTGACTTAGTTCATCCAACTCAGTCTTTGCTGGAATGTTATTTTAACAGTTCATGTTCCCTCCATTCATGAAGAGGAAGACTTGTGTAATCTGGGGGACAATAATCTGGGAGACATCTCAATACCATTGGAAAAGTTTCTTTAAAACAAAGAATTTAGCACAACTCAAATTCTAATTTTGTGTCAGCATTTCTAGATTAGTTTTCCTACATAGAGAAACCAAAATCATGAAACGTCAAATATACCTGGGCAACTCTGATTGAGTTTTGAGTAGCACCTGCAGTACATCAAATCAGTAGGGTTTTCGTGTTACGGAGCAATAGAGACTACTACTAAAAGGAAAGCAGAAATCTGCGGGTTCAGAATTACCTCCAGCAATGTACTCCACATTGGGGTTGGCAGCCAACTCTTCATACCTGTAACAAATTCAAAAGTTATACGTGAAACCAATATAAATGGGTGTAAATAGTAAATACAGCTATTCAGAAATGATAAATGCAATGGTAGGTCATCAAAAATACGCTTTCAAAAAGCCTGGTTTTCTTACATGGGAAAGTGCTTCTCCTCTGCAAGAATGGCATTGTTCAACTTAACATCATATCTGTCACCCCAAAAAAGAGCAAATTACCTTCTCCAACATATAATAAAAAAAACTCTAAAGGCCAAAGAAATCTGAGAAACTGCAACTTTAAACAGCAGTATAGGATCATATCAAATGATTCAGATGAGGTTTACTAAATCGAAGGAAGGAGTGCAAAAATATCTCTCAAGTCACAGAGGGATACTAAAAATTTCTGATGTGGTTTCTATCCATCAGGAATTACGCAAGCCATCCCCCCATCACCTATGAAGGGGGAAAAAAGATGCACTGAGGTAATGCAATCTAATTTCTGCAAATGGACAACAGCTAATCACGACTAGATCAGAAATCAAATTATGTAATCCCTCCGTCGCAAAATGATCAAAATAGTTAGCCAACTCTACACTTTTAGTATATACTGTACTGAAAATCAAAACAGGACAATCATTTTGGAACAGAGGGAGTACATCAAATCAAAGAACCGTGCAATGGGGCAGAAACCATAAACAATTCACTAGTACGAGACGCTGATACAAAACATAAAAATACCAGCTCCGTAGATCTATCAACCATTACGATTATGGACAACTGACGAAATGGGAACCAAACAAGAGGAACTCGGATCAAACAAGCAGTACACATCAATATGCAAAACAACAAGACGCATAAAAAAGCTCGACAGATCGAATCAGACGAATCCATTGAAGCAGCGATTAAAAAAACAAATTAAAAAAAAAAACAAAAAACAAAAAACACAGAGTCTGAAAGGGAGGATCAAAACTTACTTGTCCAAGAATGCTTGGTCCACAACAGAGGAGATGTCCAGAAGGGGATTCCCCATTCCCAACAATATCCCTTCGGAAACCATTTTCTGCTGCAAAAATTGCTCCGAGAAAACAATAGATAGAGACGAGAGATGCTTCGAAAACAGAGAGGAACGTGTGAGGAATGAGAGCGTCTGCGAAATCAGTGTACCTGCGTATCTCCAAGTATATATAGCAGCAAAAAAGAAGATGTTAGGTAAGGTTGGTGATTTCTTTTCACACAAAAAAAAAAAAAAAAACCCTACTATAATACGAGTAAAAAGAAAATAAAAAAGATGGCGGGCCGGATCCTCTCGCCAGCGAATCGTCGTCGTCAGATCTTGACTCGTGGAAGGCAATGCATATTTTCTTTTAATAGTACTATACTCTTCCGGTCAGGAGAAAAAAAAGGTATTGTTAAAAGCAGTTTAATTTTACTGTGCAACTTGTAAAATATAATAAAATATCCTTATAAAATTACGCAAAGTAAAATCAAGCTGGATTTATTAATATTCATTTTTGTCTTGGTTTCAATGTGTCCGAAATATGGGCAACCTCTAGGAGTATTATATTTTTACTGAATTTTCGTTCTTTTTTAATTTTTATGTTTATTATTCTGCTATCATCGGAAAAAATTAAGCTCGTTGATGAGCCTATATGGACAATGTACTATATGGTAGGAAAGTCGAGTATGCCGTGAAAAGAAAAAAAAAAGAGAAACAAAAATTGGACACCATCACAAAAAAAAAAAAAGAAAAAATGAAAAGAACAATCACCCATTTCGCAAAAAAAAATCACCGATCATACCAAAGTAAGAAAATATAGCACCTATATTTCGCAAAAGATTAAAATTAAAAATAAAAAAAAAAAACAACAAGAAAGCCCATAACACTAAAATTGCCCGATCACACCAAAAAACGAAAAAAAAAATGATCACATCAAAAAGAGTAAAAAAAATTAGCCTAAATATTACCTCAAATTTTCCTCCTTCGCGTGTCAGCAAATTTATGATTGCATATTAAAATAATATATGTTAAGGTGTAAAAAGAGATGATCTTATAAAAGGAATTTGGGAAGGTTTATGATTCATAATATTTTAGACTATTTTACAAGTTGCACGAAATAAAATTAAGTTGTATTTAACAATTCACAAAAAGAATATTCCAATTTAAAATCTTAAATCTTTTTCCTTTTTAAACTTTAAACTATATATATACTATGTATATAGGAAAATGATAAGTATAGCGACTATATACAATGGAAATAAATAGTGGCTGAGTTTGCTTCAATTTTGTTGCTATTTGCTATAGAAATTATATCTTTCCCTTATAAAATTATACTTTTACCGTTAATTAGAAAAAAACACATCAGTCAGTATACTTTTTAACTGCATATATTATTGCTGATATATATATATAAAAAATGATATGCATAGTTACAAATATATAGAGAAAAGTTATAGTGACTTAGTTGGGCCGCTATTTTTGTGGCACTTTGCACTAGAACTTATATATTTCCATATGAAATTCACATTTTTGCCTTTAATTAGTTTGTACACATCAGTCACAATTAGTTTTCACTATGAGTTTTCACTATATATATATATATACACACACACACACACACTAGATGCTTGGCCCGGCCAAAACGTCAGGCGACCGCCTTCAGATATTTTTTTTTTCTGATATTTATGGTATTGCTTTATGAAATTAAGATTTTCTTTTAGCAAAATAACAACAAAATATAATTCAAGAGCTAAGTTATATATTCTTGTGGGAGGACGACTCGTTTGTATTCGATCGGAAAAAAAAAAAGAAAAAAAAAAGAATTGTTTGTATTAGAAAACAGGCAAAAGGTGGGTTGAAATTATAAAAGAAGCGTAACCTCTTATTTTCATCGAAAATTCTTGCCACAATCAACACTACTATTAATAATCTGGCAACACCTTAAACCACAAGCTATATTCACACATATATTTACTTGTTGGAATATTGAATAGCAAATATCTATAGATCCACGGTCAACAATACTATGTACTTGGCTCGGCAAATGGCCGGCAGCCGCCTGTGTTTTAAATTTGTTAAATAAAAAAAAAAAACTTTAAACAAACAATGGCCAACTTGAAATTTAACATAATGAATAAAAGTCGGAAGAACTAAAATAAATCAAATATGGGATCATTACTACAGCTTCCAAATACGAGTTAGTTCGCAGAGATAACATTTATTGACAACCACGGGTTCAACTTAGCACCTAGCTAGCTACTAATATCAAAGGAAAAAAGATGAAGCCCATCAGGGGCCTCAAGGTTACCCCATGGGTTTTGACAATTTGACTTGCCCACTTCCACCAATCTCTTCGCACGTCATCTATGCCATATTTTGGCTTCCAAACGAGCTCTACCTCAGCTTTCTTAGTGGAAAAGCATACAACGCAATGGCGTCTCCTGGTCCTATTGGACATAAGTTGATGGATCTCCTTTCCAGATGCCTTCTTGGAAGCATTAACTATTTCAAGAACAGATGTATCTTGTGCAGTCCCCTAGTAGCTAGTAAGGGTGACATCCAAATTCCAGAATAATCATTTTTGAACAGCTTATGTAGATCAGCAAACTTAGAATAAGGAAATTATGTTTCATTCATTGTATTGTTATGTACAATATACAGACTATATATAGACAATAACAAACCCTAAACAAGGACATTATAGGAAATATATTAAATATTACAATACGCCCCCGCAAACTGACGGCGGAAAAGAGAAAGCCGAAGTTTGTCCCGAAAGCGAAAGAATAACTCCTTGGACAAGGGTTTGGTCAGAATATCAGCAAGCTGATCAGTAGCAGAGATAGAGTTGACCGAAACAAACTTTCGCCGAACATGATCTTGAACAAAGTGAAAATCAACTTCAACATGTCGAGTACGAGTATGAAACACAGGATTGACAGCAAGGAAAACTGCACTACTGTTGTCACACCAAATAGAGGGAGGGCGATGTAAAGAAACACCTAACTCGGACAAAAGATGACACACCTAATGCAGTTCAACACAGATATTAGCAACCGCACGAAACTCAGCCTCAGTAGACGAGCGAGCCACAGTGGGCTGCTTCCGAGATGCCCAGGCAAGGAGATTAGGACCCAAATAAATGAAAAAATCAGTAGTAGAACGACGATCATCCGGACAACCAGCCCAGTCAACATCACTAAAAGCAGTAAGAGTGCTCAAATCTGTAGGATGCAGAACTAAACAGAAAATTAACGGTACCACGAAGATAGCGAAGAACCCGTTTGAGAGCCTGAAAATGAGAAGTGCGAGGCTGATGCATGAACTGACAAAGCTTATTAACCGCAAAGGAGATATCTGGACGAGTGAGAGTGGTATACTGCAGACTGCCACACAGCCGACGATAAGTAGTCGCATCATCAGGAGACAACAGAGTACCATCCAAATGGGACAACACAACATTAGCCTGCAAAGGAGTGGAAATAGGTTTGCAAGTATGCATATTCGCAAGTCGTAGCAAATCAGTGACATACTTGCGCTGAGAGAGGAGCAAACCCTTGGAAGTACGACGAACCTCGACCCCAAGAAAGTAATTCAACGGACCTAAATACCGAAGAGAAAACTCCTTAGCAAGACAAGACATGAACTGCTGGACCAAACCAGAAGTGCTGCCTGTAAGAATAATGTCATCCACACAGACCAGCAAAAAATACAACTGAGACCCACGGCGATAGACAAAGAGGGAAGGATCACAACGAGACTCCACAAAACCCAAGGTGATCAGAAACGCAGCCAGCCGAGAATACCAGGCCCGAGGAGCTTGCTTAAGACCATAGAAGGACTTATGCAGTTTACACACATAATGAGGGCGCACCGGATCAATAAAACCCTGTGGCTGAACCATATACACAGTCTCACTCAGAACACCATTAAGAAAGACATTACTGACATCAAGCTGAGAAATCGACCATCCACGAGCCAAGGCAACTGTCAAAACCGAGCGAATAGTGACCAGCTTAACAACCGGACTAAATGTGTCAGTGTAATCAACCCCAAAAGACTGAGTAAAACCTCGAGCCACCAACCGAGCCTTATAATGCTCAATGGAGCCATGTGTTATTTTTGATGAGGGCGGAAATTTCATCCTTCATGGCATTCTGCCACTGGGGAAAAGATTTGGCTTGGGTGAAGGATGTAGGAGCAGTAGACAAAGCTGAGAAAACAGAGGTAAGATGAGCCGAGGGATCATAGATTTTCTTGGGCTTGGGGTGTAGATGAAGTGCCATTGAATGCTGACGGGAAGGAGGAGGAGGAGGTGGCGGAGGAGAACTGGACTCAGGTGATGAAGAGCTGGATGCAGGAGAACTAGCTAAAGATGATGAGTCGGGAGGGATGGGAAGAGACGAAGGAACTGGTGTACTAGAAGGAGACGAAGAGGGCACAGAAGACGAAGCAAGCATACCAGGAGAACGGGTTACACGCAACCAAGGGGTAGCAGGAGACTCCGGCAGCGAAGAGGGAGAACTAGAAATAGGACGTTTAAAGGGAAAGAGTTTCTCATCAAACTCAACATGACGAGCAATATAAAGACGGTTATTCGCCACATCAAAACAGCGATAACCAAGATGAGATGGAGAATACCCAAGAAAGACACACTGAGTAGAACGAAAGGAGAATTTATGTCGATTATAAGGGCGAAGAAGAGGATAGACAGCACAGCCAAAAACACGAAGAAAGGTATAATCAGGTAGTTGGTGATATAGTGTAGTGAAGGGTAGGTGACCTTGAAGAGGTTTACTAGGGTGGCGATTAATAAAAAACACAAAGGTTTCAAAAGCAAATTCCATGACCATCCACCAATTCCATAACACGGATGTGGTCCCTTATATGTAAACCATCGGGAGTGAAATAATCATGACCATAAATTACATTTAACTCAGGAAATCTGTCAACTGCCACTCGTTCAATGTAAGGCATATTATTGTTTGGAATACCCTTGGGATCTTCTCCAAGCCTACTACCCTCATGAGCCCCAACATGGTTAAAACATCTTAGCAAGA